TATATATATATATATGTCCCGCACGAATAAAATCTACAAACAAACTATTTAACAATGTACCATTTTCATTAGTAATCAACATTATAAAAAGAAATTTTTTTTATTAATTAATTAATTAAGAATTAGCACAATAGTATTTTTTTTTTTTTTCATTTTATTATAATTAATTAATATTATTTAATTATGGTAATTACGTACTCTTACAATTTATTAAGCGACGGAATAAGTTTAAAATTACTTAAATTAAAAATTAAAACAGTGGAAAAATCCGCTTCATCAATTTACTTACGTAAAAATATTTAATTAATCAAACTAATTTCATTTCGTATTTTTCACTAAAACACAGATTTTAATTATTCTCAACTTTTAATGATGTTAAGTGAAAGCTTACTATAAATTATTACAGTAATTACTCAGTAACTTTTATGAATATGTCCATTTTATTTTACTAATTTGAAGCGATTTATTTTAAGCTTCCGTCTATTATTTAATGACCAGAATTGAGGTCTGGTCTAGAATATCCAGCACGGAGTATCTTTACTTGGATTAGTATCCACTTGCAATTAGTTTTGATCCGTGAAATTTAATCATAAAAATTTTTCCGATAAAAAAAAACTATTGATTAAATTCTATTATTAAATTAAGAAGAGATTAAATGCAATCAATAGAGTTTGTATAATTTACTAACTAACTATTAATTCTTATTTTCATGTCGATCGTTTTAAAAATTGGCATTAATCAATTGAACAAAAGAGATTCTATTTGAAATAAAAAAAAAAGAATTGAGAGTCAATGAAATCAAATTATTGCTAGGGTAATCATCAAGACACATTTAATTAATTTTTAAAGATTATTATTAAGCGACTCACTCTAAAAAATGACAATTCAATATCAATATTTATAAAGATAATTAGTCGATGATACCATTAATTACTTGAATATATTTTAAATAATAAATTAACGCATAGCGAAATGTTTTTTCAGATAGTATAATTGTGCTTTGGATTCATATGTGGCAAGCTCAGCGACAATTGGAGCCATTTGTTGAACATGATTTTGGTAATTAGAACCTCTGTTGATGCGTTTTTCACCATAAGTAACTTTACCATCGAATTCATTCAATGGGACTTTTAAGTCTGGTCCTACTTGTTCAATCGTTATATTTAAATGTTCCTCAATTTCAGAAAGATACTGAAAAATATTTACAAATTTTCAATCAATTAGATTCTTTTTTTTTTTTTTTTTTTCAATTTTTTTCAATTTTTTTTAAATAAAAAATTAAATTTACCTGTGGTTCATTGTACCACGTACAACATCCACCTTGAGGTGTTAAATTGGTATTACTACAATTGCGCCCACGGCTTGGACACCAATCTCCATGATACCAAACTTTTTCCGGCACTGAGCTAACTAATGAAATAGCTAAGCCCATTCTCTCAGCACGACCTACTCTACCAATTCGATGGACATAATTTGATTTTTCATCTGGCAGTGTAACATTGATCACTAAAATAAAAAATTAAATAATTATTATTATATCAATTACGAAAGACTTTCTGGTGACAGTAATAAATAAATTTACTGAAAGGTAATCCAGTGATATCCAAACCACGAGCAGCAACATCAGTACAAATTAAAAATTTAACTTCTTGTCTTTTGAATTTTTCCAGATTAGCTTTACGTTCTGGAGGTTTTCGATCACCATGAAGACACACACAAGAAAATTCATTGCCACCAACTTGTCGGAAATATTTTTCAAGATTATCGCAATCTAATTTTGTACGACAGAAAATTATACAGCGGTCCATTTTATGTTCTTTGATGGCACGGATACAGTACTCGCCTTTCATAATTTTCACTCCTTCCGACAGAGTTTCTAAGTACAAAAATCCAATTAAATAATTTTAAACTAATTATGTATATAATATATTATATTATAAATAATAATTTACCGGCTGTAGTGTTCCCTGGTCTTATGTTATCTCTATGATGTACTCCATCAGTTGGAATATGAGACCTTAAATTGTACCATGATTTGTCTTTTTGAGGATCAACCATCACTACAACATGATGAACAGTTTCAGGAACAGCATCTTCACCCTTCAAATCAACCCACGCCGGAAAACTCATTAAACTTTCCTAATAAACAATAAATATATTTATACTATAATTTTAAAAGCTCGATTAATTAACGCAATATATTTTTTTAGATTCAAGTTAAAAATCTTACGGCCATTTTTTTAACTTCAAAAGAATGTAAAGTAGCAGAACAAACAACCATCTGGAGCTTCTTGCCATCAGACGTAACCTTCGGTATCTGTCGATGCAATTTATTGATCAGTTCTGTATACCCTTGCTTGAGTAACCCGTCGGCTTCGTCTAGTACAAAGAATCTGCAGTGTGTCAGTGATAAATATCCGCCTTGAATTAAATCCTCCAGCCGTCCTGGCGTACCGACAACAATGTCAATGCCCGAGTTTAACGCAGCGATCTGTTGTTTGGCAGGTACTCCACCCACCACCAGCAGTTCTCTGACAGTTGGATCCTTCAAGTACTTTTTAAACTAAAGAAAAAAAAAAAAAAAAAAAAAACACTATTAAATACACCCAATGGTTATTACAATTTACAATTTAAAATTGACATTTAATAATTGCCTTTTGAATTTGATTAAAAGTCTGCTCAGCAAGTTCACGTGAAGGTTCAATAATAATTGCTTGTGGTGCATTCGGACTAGGTTTTGTATCAGCAGTTTCAGTTTGACTACTATTACTACTGACTGGATTTTCGCGTATTCGTTCTTTCGGAGCAGCTGATACAGCGACAAAATTATTAGCTGGTGGATGTTTAAAAGGCTGAGCTCCAAAATTAAATGACATTTCTGCATTTTTTAGTACCACCGCCGGATAATATGTTTCGTTTTTTTGTTGACCGTTCAAGTCAAATGCTTTTCCCAAGTCTGTACCATTTTTGCTAAATCTCACTTCTCCTTTCTCCAAGTCTAGGTAACAGCCAATAACATCATGCATTCCAAATGCCTCACCATAGTCTGAGAATTGCTTTGAATTTGATTTTTTTCCAGTTCCTCCAAATCCAAACCCAAATTTATCTGTTCCTAAATCTAAATTAGCCTGGAATAATTGAAAAAATATATTACAAACTAGATCATACTAACTAGATTTGAGTAAGTGATAATATTTTATTACTTGAGAAGTGGACCATCCAACACGACAAAGTCCTTCATCAGTAACTGTAGCTTCATAAAAATATTTACCACTACCGTGGACACCCTTATTAGCTCTGCAACCGTGCCATTCTCGTGGCTCACGGCTCTGACATCTCAGGCCATCAGGCGTAACCGCCATCGCACGCCCGCGATCAAAAAGACTGAGTCCCCAGGTCGCAGAGATAGCCCGTTCACCAGATTTACTTGCTCCTTTGCCCATTGCTATGTCATTCAAAGTTTCCCATACAATTTGAATTATCGGCAGACAAAATGCTCCGGTCTTTCCACTCCCGGTTTCAGCTGCTATCAAAACATCTCCACCGCCTAAAATTAGCGGTATCGCTTCTGCTTGTATATCCGTGGGCAATCTATTAATCAATCAACAACCCTCATAATATTTAAATTTAACAATTTTTTTATTTTTTTTAATAGGCTAGAAGATAATTATTTTCCAAAAATTGCTTTTATAATTTTTTAGAGCTCATAAAAATGGAGTTTTTGAAATAAATTTTTTTTGCTGTAATTAATTTGTTAAAAAAATTCGAAAAATTACACATCAGATGTCTCTCAATTTTGGTATAGCATTAAATTTAACTGTTACTTGACAATTTTTTAATTTTTTTAACAAATTTGCTCTAAAAAATTATTTTTAAAAAAAAAAAAACATTTTTTTTGCCAATGACATTAAAGTTAGCAGTCACTTGACAATTTTTTAATTTTATTTTACAAAAAAATTTATTCCAAAAAATTATTTTTAAAAAATTTCATTTTTTTATTTTTAAAATTCCTGTAATGTCAATTTTCTTTTCTAATTTTTTTTGCCATGATTTATTTGTTATAAAATTTTTAAAATTATTAAATGTAAGCTAACTTAATTTTCATTTTTTTGCCATAATTTATTTGTTAAAAAAATAATATTAAATTTAGCTGTCACTTAACCATTTTTTAATTGTATTTAACAAAAAAATTTGTTCCGAAAAATTATTTTTAAAAAATTGCATTTTTAATTTATTAAATTAAATTTTCTAAATGTCAATTTTTTTTCTTATTTTTTTATGCAGTAATTTATTTATTAGAAAAATTCTTGAAATTATTAAATATCTGCTAAGTTAATTTTCATAAAAAAAATATCTAAAATTATGAAATATCTGCTAAATTATTTTTCATAATTTTGATATGATAAGTTGTCAATCGTGAAATTTAAAAAATAAAATAAACTCACGTCCATTCAATATCCTCAGTTGCCTTTGCCAACTCAGGCATTACACCCATTTCTAAAAAAAAAGAATAAATTATTTAAAAATTGGGGTAAAAAAATTAATTCACATCATTTATATACATCACCTTCAAAAGCTGTCATTTTTTTAGTTAGTGGATTAAAGTAACCGGTAATGAACGAGGTTACTACAAAACACCTGGACCACAATATGATAAGTTGATATATACTTATATTTTTAAACCTATATAGTATAGTATAAAAGTGAAACAGTTAGTTCGTAACAAATCGGCAAAACTCGAGCGTCACTCGGTTTGCGGTTAAAAAAGTAAAACCGTCAGGCGCAGAGTGAGTCAGACTATAGAATTCTGGAACGGAGTAGAAGCTTTTGCGTTGTAGGCTTAGAGTGTGATTGAGGCGGCGCAGCAGCAGTTGGTGGAAAAATATCATCAGCGGGAAGTTGGAGCGAGTAAACAGAAGCAGAAAGTGCAACGCAATATAGAATATATACAGTGTAACGTATATAATACCATAACTGTATATAATTTAAAGTTTGAGTTGTTGGTTGTTGGTTGTATATATGTTGGAGCATAAGTAAAGAGAGTTGAAGAGAGTAGACAGACACAGGTACAGTCACAATTCACAATTCTAGTATAAGTCATAAGTAATAGTAGTCGTCACTAGTCTCAAGTCACTGATCACACCAGCTAAGTGAAGTATTAAATAAAACAAAGTGTATACATACATATATGTATAAATAAATCTAATATTCGAGTTATAGGTACTGTATTAAATTAAAGTAAATATATTTAATTAAAAAAAATAAGCAGCTCTGGCTTCGGTGGACTGTAAAACAACAGCCGTAACCGAGCCATGGCGATGGCGGGCTTACAAGACGAGGACAAAGCATTATTTCCCGTACGAAGTATATCATCTATTGTACAAATATTTGAAAAGCAGCTGTCAAACAATAACAGTGAACCAGATTTAACGCTGCTGTCGATACTTGTTGGAGCTGTTGAAAATTCATTAACCTGCAACCGTACGGTAGCGTCACCGGAGAATACTATTTACGATGAACCAAAATTACCAGCTCTTGAATTTCATATTGCTGAAGCACTCTACACTAAATTTCATGCGATAATTAAAGGCGCAATTGATTTAACGCTCTATGACAGTAAATACGCGTCAAGAGAGCTTGTTAAACGTGTATCGGATGTTATTTGGAATTCGTTGACAAGAAGTTATTACAAAGATCGTGCTCATTTACAAAGTTTGTATAGTTATTTAACCGCTAATAAACTTGACTGCTTTGGAGTTGCATTTGCGGTTGTTGCTGGCTGTCAAGCATTGGGATTCAAAGATGTACATCTTGCTATGTCTGAGGATCATGCGTGGGTTGTTTGTGGTGAGGATGGCAGTGAAACTGTCGAGGTTACGTGGCATGGTATGTATTACACTTATACATTACGAATATCGTCATTATTATATATAATATATTTGTTATATTTTTTTTTTTTTTTTTTTTTTTTTTTTTTAATCTAAACCTAATCTAAGCTATTTTTATATTATTCAATTTATTACTACGACACTACTATACAGCTAAAATTATTACGTGGCACTGACGTAGTTGTTGACATAGAATAAAATAAAAAATTAAAACGCAATAAGACAAAAATTAATATTTCAATATAGGTAAAGGGAATGAGGATAAACGTGGACAGCCGGTAGAAGCAGGTGTTGCTTCACGCTCCTGGTTATACGTCAATGGGAATGCTGTTGTTTGTACGAGAGCGATGGAAGTCGCAACAATAGTATCTGCGATAAATCCAAGTTTAAGTGCGACTGCGGATGCTGCAGAGGTTGCATTGCTGCAGCAAGAATTGTTGTGGCTACTCTATGACTTGGGACACTTGGCTAAGTACCCAATGGCACTGGGAAACTTGGGTGATTTAGAGGAAGCTGCTCCTACACCTGGTAGACCGCCGGCTATTGTTCTCTTCCAGGTGAATTTAGTTCTTAATTATCCGGCAGATGGGTTCCTTTGTTTTATTTACTTCTACTTCTTTATTCCTTCTCTAAATGTTTTGTTTTTTTTTTTTCTTATTCACAGGAAGCTATTAAGTCGGCGAGAAAATACTATGGTAATGCTCATGTTTATCCATACACGTATCAAGGGGGATATTTGTACCGACATGGACTACACGCAAATGCTTTAGCATCTTGGGCAGACGCTGCTGATGTTTTACGAAAGTAATTTTTATATTTATTTATTAATAGTTCATAACTTAGTACCATGAATTTATTATTATTACTATTACCATTATTTATATTAACTTTGATAGAGTTGTTCTGCAACACCGGTCAACCGTTTAAATATTATTTGCCTGATATTATTTTTATTTAATTTAAATACTAAATAAAATTTATATTTATTCAATAGGTATGATTATTCACGTGACGACGGTGAAATATATAAAGAGTTATTGGAAATAGCCAATGAATTAATACCACACACAGTTAGAGCAGATGAACGATTATTGCGGCAGCCCCGTTGTTTTGCGTATTTACTCCGCTTTTATGACGGAATATGCCAGTGGGAGGAGGGAGCAAACACACCCGTACTTCATATAGGTTGGGCAAGACCATTGGTAAATACAATATCGAAATTCGATGCTAGTATTCGGGCACAAGTTATTATTGAGTGCCATGATGAACCAGTGGCTTACAGTAAACACGACGACGATACTGGATCGCGACGTGAAGCTAGTCCCGATGATCGATTTCTTAATAACAATAATACATCAGTCAGTAATAATAATACTATAAATAATAAAAATATCAACAACAATCATAGTAATAATAATAATAATAATAATATTAATAATAATAATAATAATAATAATAATAATAATAATCATAGTAATAATAATAACAACAACAACAACAATAATAATAATAATAATAATAACAATAACAACAATAACAATTATTGCAAGACTAAAGAACGCAACAATGTTGCGCGTGATTTAATAGCAAAGCTGGAATCAAAAGTACCATCCAATAACACAGCGCCGATGCATCCAAGTATACAGGCTTTGACGGCAGCATGCAGTGAAAAAATATTAAATCGTGATTACTTATTACAAGGTGATGGTGAGCCATTTGTTGCGCCACAAGATAACTCACTACCGCCTATACCTTCCACATCACAAGAGAGTCTCGACCCAGAAGTCGAAATAGACTCGGAAAATGATAGTCCTAAGATAACATTGTATAGTGAAAAAATGAAAGGACTAAAAGATTTATTATTAGCTGAAAAATTAAATACACATGCTATTTCATTACAATTAACAGCACAGAGTCAAGTGCAGATTGGTAAAAAAACCAGGGGCAATGATGATATTGGATTACATCAGCGTCCAAAGAGGACACGTCGCGAGTAATAATTTTTTTAAATAATAATTATTTTTTTTTTTGACAGAAATTCACTCTCCATAACTTATATATCTATACCTTCATAGATATATAAATATAAATATGTAATTTTATTGGATCGTTTAGCCGACTCTTGCGCAAAAGCTCCAATCAACATAGTTGTTTAATACTATATATATTTACTTATATAATGGTATTAAACAACTGAAAAATTTCTCTTTTTTGATTACTTTTTTTGCCAGTCAACATAAAAAGCATTAGATCTTATATTTTATAAATATATATTATCGGTTGAACAGATTTTTTCACTTGTATAGATCAAGTGAAAGTTAAAGTAATATTTTAATTCATTTAGTATAAGTACATTAGGTGGTATTAAACGTAAGTAGAAGAGTACAAATCTCCCTTGTATCTTTTTTGTTTATTTACATCGCGCGCTACTTGCCATTTTTTTTTTGAAAAAAACAAATTTTCATCAAAAAATACTAACGAAACTAGTAAAAAAAAAAAAAAAAATATAAATATAAAAAATAAATTGATTATATATTTATAATTCGCCTAACGTTGTCATGACAGTTAAATGATCATTGATAATTTAAAGATATAAATATATATACATAAAAATATTTATATATATATTTTTTTTAAATCGGCATTATTTAAATAATTAATTTAACTATTTTACGTCTATGTCATTTATTGATATTATTCATAGACTCAATCCCTATTTATATATTGTAATTATTATTATTATTTATATTTCTATTTCTATTAATTCGTCCAATGTTATTCGATTATTATATATTGATAAATACGCTAGTTGTTTACTGTAAATTATTGTCGTTGACACGAGGTAAAAGAGTCTTGGTAAAAAGTGAGTCAAAAAATTTTTTTAAAATTCTAGTGAAGATAAATTCAAACATTCCACTCCCTACGTGCAAATTATTTTTAATTATAATTATTTCGAGTCATTTATATTTTTTTTTTGTTTATTTAAATTGAATTATATATATATATATATATATATATATATATATCGTGAATGAAATCAAATTAAATTAAATTAAAAATATTTAATATTTATTTTTGCGTGGGTTTTTATTTTGATAATTATTAATGATAAATTATTTTATTTGGTTTTATTTGCAATTGCTTAGCATTTGAAAGTTACGCTTGTTGCGCTTAAAACTTTTGCACTACGCTTTTTTGAAATTATTACTATATTTATATCCATAATTATTATAATTAATCCAATTATTTTTTATTAATTCTAAATTATTATTATTTTTAATTATTGCACTCAATTTACTTAATATAAACTCTTAATCCCTCCCAAGACCGCGAGTCCGAGAATTTAAATTATATATTATATTAATGTTCAAGTCAATTTGCTATAAACGAGATACTATTAAACTATTTAAAAATTTTTTCTATTCATATCTTTATGTAATTAAATCAACGTAATTAAATTTAAATCGTTCTCCATGCAGACTTACAATTTAAAGCAAATATATAATAACAAATAATTAAAAAAAAAATATATTATATATAAATATATATATTGAAGAAAAAAAAAAAATATTTTAAACGGGTTGTTGTACGATATACTGTTAAATGTATGAGGTGTACTACATATTTTATTAAGAAGATAATAATAAAAAAGAGACGTGTCCCCAAGTTTATTTGAATCAGTTGCAAGATCAAATATTACTTTAAAAGTTTAAAAAAAAAAAAATTATTAAATTAAAATAGTATATGATAAAATATAAATCAGTTTATAAAATAAATTGGATTAATGATTATGTTATAATGAAGGGCGCTATCTTGCTGTGATGCTGTTAATATACTGTACGATATTATACCTATTAATATGACTGATACGTTGCCAGCAACGTAAAAAAAAAATGACAAACAAATTCCTCATTAACTCTCAGTAACTCTCTATTATTATTACTATCTTAACTATTATTATTGAATGAATAGTAAATGGCTATAAAAATAAATAAATACTGGGACATTTGCGGTTACAAGTTCCCATTTGTTTAATTACTAGTATACGTTATAGAGGCTGTACTTGAAAATCTAGGAAAAATTATATTTAATAAATTACTATATACGTACATTTGGTTGTGAAATGTTGATATATTTAACAAATAATTGGAAAAAAAAAAAAATTAAGTTAAATTAGAGTAGAATTATTTTAGTGTAATTGTTGTAAAAATGTATCCTAGGTTTTTGAGGATCAGCGTCTATGTCGTCTAAATAAAATATTTAAAAAAATGAAATGAAAATTATATAAATATTATATAAAATTAACATATAATTATAAAAATATAATGTACAAAGATATTGTCTACAACAATTGTAAGCAAATGTATTTGTACAAAAAGGGCATATTATTTAAAACTATTTAAAATTCCATGGTGTTGATAATAAATTGTGAATAAAAATTGAAGATTAAAATAATAAATGAAAAAAATGCCATTTTCAGTATTCAAATTGACGTGACATATTATAAATAAGTAAATGAATAAATGAATAATTAACAGAAAGGGAGAGAGAGAGAGAGAGAGTGAGTGAAAAAAGTTTTAAAAGAGTGAGAGAGAAAATTAAGAGAGTATGATACACAGCAATTAAGTGATATAACTTATGTATATGTGGAATCGACAGTAAAGAGTATTTTTGTATAATTAAAGCTGCGATTCCAGTTATTTCAACTATGTACTGACTGTGTGATGTTTAATTGAACTTTATTTGTGTTTTTATTGTAAAACTCTGTAATTTCTTTCTATATTTTATTACAAGTTAGAGTTATTTATCACATTGCGGCCTGTTAATTAACATTATTCATACATCACATTTTATTCATTAATCATTAATTATAATTAATATTTTTAATAAGTATAGTTAACAATTAACTTTTTTTTTAAACGCGTCAGAGGAGTTCCGTATTGTTAATACGAGTATACTCATTGCGTGCCATAGAAAATGAATTGTTTTATTGCCGCATTATATTCCTCGCACAATTATATACCTCCTTTTATAATTTGGATTCTATAGATCATGTTTCCCTTTTTCTATTTTATATTACAAATTAATAATGATTAAAAAAGAAAACGAACGCTTAAAGTTATGATGAAATAATTTTTACAAAAACAATTTTTGATGATAAATAATTAATTGTCAATGCAACACTCATGGATAACAATTAAAAGGTATAAATACAAGTACTTAAAATAAAAGGGAAAAATATTTCAATTTTCAGAATTCAGCATCAGTAATAATTAAAATTATATATTATAATATGAATAATAGTTAAAAATAAAAATTTCAATAGATAATATTGATCAGATAAGATCTTACTATCATTACATAACTACTATTATTGATATTACTAATTAATAAAATGAATTTCAGCGATAAGACTGCTGTTTTTAAAATAGAACCATCCACTACTTGAAAATAGTTATTTATGATAAACGACAGTTAATTAAATTTAATAATAATATTAATAACAAAAAAATTCAGCATGATTAAATAATAGTTATTAAAATAAAAAAAATAATTCCTAATTGCTTAAAGTTCCTTATGCAATCCATATTCATTAAAGTCCTCCATAGAGATCTTGATAAATAAATAATTATTAAATATAATAAAATAAAAAAATGTAATTGCATTGTCGAAAGGACAGTAGTGATAAATGTAAGGCATTAATTGAAATTACAAGATATGTTTTTTTTTTTTTTTTTTTTTTTTTTTTTTACTTTTTTTTTTCTCTGTGTTTTTATTGTAAAACTCTGTAATTTCTTTCTATATTTTATTACAAGTTAGAGTTATTTATCACATTGCGGCCTGTTAATTAACATTATTCATACATCACATTTTATTCATTAATCATTAATTATAATTAATATTTTTAATAAGTATAGTTAACAATTAACTTTTTTTTTAAACGCGTCAGAGGAGTTCCGTATTGTTAATACGAGTATACTCATTGCGTGCCATAGAAAATGAATTGTTTTATTGCCGCATTATATTCCTCGCACAATTATATACCTCCTTTTATAATTTGGATTCTATAGATCATGTTTCCCTTTTTCTATTTTATATTACAAATTAATAATGATTAAAAAAGAAAACGAACGCTTAAAGTTATGATGAAATAATTTTTACAAAAACAATTTTTGATGATAAATAATTAATTGTCAATGCAACACTCATGGATAACAATTAAAAGGTATAAATACAAGTACTTAAAATAAAAGGGAAAAATATTTCAATTTTCAGAATTCAGCATCAGTAATAATTAAAATTATATATTATAATATGAATAATAGTTAAAAATAAAAATTTCAATAGATAATATTGATCAGATAAGATCTTACTATCATTACATAACTACTATTATTGATATTACTAATTAATAAAATGAATTTCAGCGATAAGACTGCTGTTTTTAAAATAGAACCATCCACTACTTGAAAATAGTTATTTATGATAAACGACAGTTAATTAAATTTAATAATAATATTAATAACAAAAAAATTCAGCATGATTAAATAATAGTTATTAAAATAAAAAAAATAATTCCTAATTGCTTAAAGTTCCTTATGCAATCCATATTCATTAAAGTCCTCCATAGAGATCTTGATAAATAAATAATTATTAAATATAATAAAATAAAAAAATGTAATTGCATTGTCGAAAGGACAGTAGTGATAAATGTAAGGCATTAATTGAAATTACAAGATATGTTTTTTTTTTTTTTTATTTTTTATTTTACTTATTTTTTTCTCTGTGGATTATACAATAAACTATTTTATTATTCTAATTATAATGGTACACATTTTTAAATATCCTTCACTTTATATATTTGGGATCTGCTATTACAAGTCATCTAGTTAATTATTTGTTAATTAAATTCTAGTATATTTATAATTATAATTATAAAAATTATTATTATTATTAATATTTATCAATACAATGTATGCCGAAATATCAAAAATATATAAAATATATTTTTAATTGTTTACAAATACTTTTTTAAATGTTATAGTTATTTAAAACATTTATTATTACAAAAGATAAATAATTTATAATTTTTTGTTAATTTTATTTATATTTATTTATTCTTAGAAAACTAAATATATTTGGTCAGTTTTTTGCGCGTTAAAACGCATCAATTATGGTACTGAAATATATTTACTTTTTTTTTTTTTTTTTTCAAATTCATTCATTTATCATGAGCACTCTTGAATACGTAAATATCAATGTTTATAAATTGATAATTTTTTTTTTAATACTGCTAACGTTCGATTAACAAAAAAAAATAAGTTTGGTCCGTAAAAAAAAAGTTAATTTATAATTTTAATATAATTATTAAAAATATATAACATCTACTACGTATTTATAACAAAAGTAGAAAATAAAACAATACATTATTTTATTTTATTTTATCGGCGTTGGCAGTTTAATTGCGTATTTTTTTTTTCTTTTTACATTTATATTTTGTAATTTTAAGAAGAAAAATTCTTCAAATTAAATATAATATTTTCATAATAATTCATGCATATATTTTCAACGTTTATAATTATAAATTTAAGTAATTAATATATAATTTATAAAAATAAAAAAAATTTTAATCCAATACATAATTACGTATTATTGATGATCAATAGTTTGGAAAAACCATTCAGTAAATCGTCTTAATTGTTGCGCAGCAGCGTGATTCTCATCCTGTAATCTCCGATTTTCATCTCTCAATCTCCTGACTTCATCTTCAAGCGACAGTCGTCTTCTAGTTTCCCGTGCAACTCTTAATTCTAAACTCGATAGATGACCCTGTAAATCAGTGACCGAATTATTAGCAGCGCTGGTAACACTGCTAGTAGACTCATAAATTTTCTCATCACTCCATTCTTGATTGTGCTGCTTGAATCTCTGATTATCATGACTATTATTCCACAAGTCATTACCTTCATCAGCATCATTAATACTATTGTTACCATCCCTCACAGCTAAATTATTTATTGTTTTCAAAGGCACGTGTGTTTTAGTAACTCTAGGTGAGAGTCTCTCTTCCTTGGTCATTTTATTTTCACTCGGTGCTGGACTGGAGTTATTACTGTTTGAAATAACCGTAGCGGGTCTTGCTTTCGTTAAAATAACTTCTGAAGCCGCATTAACATTTGAATTTGAATTATTATCTTGTCTTGTGTTTGCTGAGGCTAATACACTTAATGTCGTCGTAGAAGTACCGCATAAATTTTCTCTAGATCTACATTTATTCTGTATTTCTAATTCATTATTATTACTTATATTATTACCAATAACTTTATTAACATCATTACTTTTATCAACTAAATTAATTTTATAATTCTCACTATTATTACCATTGTCAGAGTAATTATCATCATTGACAATATTACCATTGTTATTTAAAGCATTGCAAGGGATTGTATTATCATCAGCAATATAATCTGGATTTATTAATTTCATAAGATCTTCTTGTAGCGTACTAGAAGTTAAATTAGCAGAATTTCTCAGTTGATTTCTAACAATAGATTTAGGCCGCGGCGATTGATTCCGTGGGCTGGAATTTGCAGCAGCAGTAACAGCAGCAGCAGCAGCAGCAGCGGCATTAGAATTAACACTACTACCACTACTGCCGCTTCCTGGACGATGTTTACCAGTTCTTCTTACCGCAGAGGAATTTTCGCATGCATTCAATGTTAATTCATCCTCACTTGGCACTGTTGGTATGTCCAAAGCTGTTATTATTGTTGGTGGATTATTTCCATCAAATATTCTCACCTCAGGCGGCAAACTCGAGGACGTATAATCTTTCCTCATATACTCATGGGCTAATTTACGGGATAAAGCACGTTCAGGTAAATTACTCTTAAGACAAGTTACCTTTTCTCCAATTATAAATTCATGAGTTGGCTCACGTACTGTTCCTCCCGACGCTATTGTACTTGAAGTATTAATACTGTCATCGTGAGATAAATTAACTTCATAATTTAGCCCCAATGCTTTAACACGATTGACATCTGGTGTACTGATAATAACATCGTGATTATTTTTTCTTTCATAATCATTACCATTAAATTCATACCCAACTGATCTTTCTCGATATTTACAGTTAGAATCATTAGAATTATCAACAGCCCGAGATTCTTCATAATTATCATTTTTACCAGTTGCTCTAATTTCATAATCATTCTTTGGCTTCCGTAACACACGACTTGTTTCATTGTCGTAAGCACTGTGAGCGTTCAGCTCATTATCATTAGCATTAGCATTAGCTTGTTCACTGTAACGAATCCCATTGCTCTGGACCATTGATTTCGAACTGTAACCAGAGTTTTGATGGTTTTGAGCTAATGAAGTTGAAGGAGATAATTTTTGATGGGCATGATTTGATCCGTACCTGTAATGATCTTTTTGTATTTTTGCGTAATTAGCTGCTGGATCTTCTTGATTACTATTATTATTATTATTATTATTATTATTATTATTATTATTATTATTATTATTATTGTTATTATGACTGCGATTAGCTTCATCAAGTCGTTGATAATTACTCTCATGAATGACACGCGGTGAAACATAATTCGGTTCTTTAGAATAGTAATCATGTTTTAACTGATCGTTTGTTGATTTACCATGAGACTCACGTTCTTTTAGCCTAGCAGGTAAAGGTGGTGGTGGAGTCCCGTCAATACGATGACTTGCATCTTGTTCAGGAGCCTCGAACAAATCATACCATTTTTCATCGGTATGATTGCTGGTATTAATAGAAGCTCCAGCAGCGTTATTAACTGTACTGGCAATGACACTAGTACTAGAATTCGCATTATTACTGCTATTATTATTAATATTATTATTAATATTACTATTATTAGACGACATTGTAGAGTCTTGTATAAACCTTGGATCGTTGAAAGACCGCGAACTAGAACCAGTACCGTAACCAGAGCTATTGCTGGATCTCGGCGGACTGGTAGATCGCTCGTAACTTTTCGTTTGAGCAGCTTGTTGGCTCGGAACATTTTCAGAGTTAATATTCTCGTAGTCGGTTTCATAATTAGCTGATAAATACTGACACGTTTGGAGCGAACAGCCGCGACGTGGCTGCCCGTCATTAGTCGGCGGTATAACGGTCACCGTTACTTGGGCACTGGTTTTAAGTAGATCGACCATTTGATCGTGACTCAAGGTCGAGACAGCGACCTTGCAAATTTCAACGAGCCTCGAGCCTTGTCTCAAGCCCGCTTGCCAAGACAAACCCATCGGCTCAACCTGAGTGACGACACCGTCAGGCTGAACGTGAAAACCCAGTTGCCCCAACGAGTTCCGTTTAAGTGACAACTCAGATGCTGGCGAGCCCTGAGTTACTGCTCGTAGCCGTGCTACTATCTCCATTATTTCGTCTCTCTCTGAATAATCTGGACGTACGTGAATACTTATGCACTCGCCTTGGTGATAATACAGCCTCAAACTGTTGGTCTGGGCGTGCCAGCCCAATACATTGACGCAGGGTGACACAAATACAGTTTGCCGTGAATGCTCTTCAATTAACACGATTGTGTCTACGGAGATTCCCAAATAACAGTCGGTGCTTTGATTGCTCTCTTCTAAAATAACTTGCCAGCAAATTGCACCACGTTGGGAGGCGTCACAGGCCAGTCTTGGTCTTATTGGTGCCTTTTTCTTGCTGCTAAATGACAGCATAGAAAATTTCTGTCCAGTGTCGATGATTGTGGTGGTTAAATAATTAACAGCTAGATCTTTTAGATACTCTTGACGGGTCCTGGTAGCCATTGTAGAAAATTTTTCTGACCTATGAGCTGCGTTCTCGGCATTTATCACCTTGGCTAAAATAAAATCGGCGAATGATTTTCCCTTGTTAAAAGTTGCACCTGGAGGCACGGGTGGTCCAAAAATAGGCACCTCTTTGCTACGTGATACGGCAACACTGTACTGAGTATTGTCTGTACACGGATTTATAGCACGTACGATGATAAATACGTGCTGAAACTGTGATCTGATTCGCCGGGGACTAAATGGCAATGCACCGGGCTCTTGAAATACAATAGTTACGATATCATTACCGATGTGTCGCTTCCTGAGTAATTGTTGTCGATTATTTGGCGTGAATGGTAACATTGTCACTACGTGAAATGTTAACTGAGATCCTCTGTGAGTGGCTGCAACAGCGTGAGTTCCCGTCGAATCTGTTCTAGTATCAAGACCAGCTTTGTAACCTTCGAATCCGCGTAACTTAACTCGCTGACCGACTGTATCCAAAAATTCAAGAAATGCTGGACCAGCGTGCTGGTTGTTGTACATTTCTTCCTCGGTCCGTTGACCGGTGCGACAATAAAGCACTCCGACTTTGTAACGGTTTGAGAGACCCTGCTCATCTAGTCTCGCAAGAGTTTCTTCCGCTGCGGGTGTTCCTAATCTGAGGCATCCTAATTGTACTTCCGGGGCTACGAGCTCTAGTATTTCTCGAGTTGGAATTCGAGATCCTTGGTGAGTTCGTAAACCTAATGCTTCTTCGGGTATTGACCCGCGGAGAGTTAGTAATTCAGATGTACGAACAATAATGCGGTAGTGGTTTCCGTCTTTGCGAATGCTTATTGCTACTGGTCCGAGTTGTTCATCCATACCAAACCAATTTTGATGTTCTTTACCTATAAAATATTATAAAAATACATATATAACTATAGTAACCACATTGTACTATAAATTTACATATTTTTAAATAGAATTTCAATTTTTTTTTGTTAATAGATCTGATAAATTATATTAAATTCTATTTTTATCAATTAGTGCAAATAAAAATTATTTTACTTATTAATAAAACTAGCAACCTTGCAGTCACTATGTGACTGCGGTGACTTGTGAACTATAAATAAATAAAATTTTGCTTTAATAAATAATGACTTTTGTTAAATTGTACTGTACTTTCTTAACTATTGACATTTTTAAAGATATAAGCTCATCCCGATGTTACACTCATCAAGAGCTTTCATTTGAGTACCCACATGCATTTTGATATATTTTTCATATATACATATATATAGAATATATATAAATATATGAAAAAAAGAGCTTTCATTTGAGTACCCACATGCATTTTTTATATATTTTTCATATATACATATATACGATTTATATAAATATATGAAAAATTGATGTGGGTACTCAAATGAAAGGTCTCGATGAGTGTAATGTCGGGGTGAACTTATATCTTTAAAAATATCAATAGTTCACGAGATACAAGGTCACGAGATACAAATATAAATTATATTTGAAGATCATTAAATTTAATAAAAAGTTTATATAAATTAAAAAAAAAAACCATTTAAGAATAATTTAAACTAATAAAATAAATAAATTTCTTACCGAAAAAGTATTTTCTGTAATACCGTGCTCCTTCATCGACACTTTCAATCGGCAAGAGTCGTTTACGCAACGGACAAGTATGCTTCCAAAGTGTCTCCCCAGGCATAGGCTCAAGTACAGAGACTCCATAAGACAATGATGGCCGATGAGCACCGACAGTAGGACTGGGCGATCTAGCCAAGGCGACTTCGCGTTCTCCTTCACCGCCAATTTCATTCCGGAAAAATGGACATGACTCGAGTAAATCATTGCTTTTACCATCACCAGGATCATCAACGACTTCATTGCCGTCGGGCGATTCGTTGTCAGGCGTAGGTGCTCGTATAGTACTAGCGGCAGACGCTCCAGTGGCCGTGTTTCTACGCCTAGCCAATAGTATCCCGCGGAGCTTGGCCGCGTAACCGAGATTAGCGGTCAATGACTGGGTGTCGTAGTGCACAAACGCTCGCCGGCGATGTCGCTCCTCAAGATCACTCGAGACAACAGTTGCCGGAGTGGAGACTCCAGCAGGCGGGCTCTCTTTACCGCCCCAAAGTCGGTTGATTTTTAATCTAACTTTGGGACTGGATGCCGACGTCGGTCCACAAACTTCATCGGTAGACGTGCCCGCATTGAATATACTTGAATCTAGAGCTCCGTGATGATGAAGTTGATGGTGGTGGTGGTGATGATGATGATGATGATGATGCGGGTACAGACGATCCGCAGAAGATCGCCCGCTCCGGAAATCTTGAAGCATCGTAAAGATGTGCTCGCCTGAGGAATTCCCGCCTGGTGGGTTACACTGACCGGCGACCACGTCGATGCTTCCTAGATGTTAATAAAACAATTTATAATAATATAAATCAATGAGTTACAACAGCAGCTTCTTTAAAATGATGTCTCAACTTTCACGTTTGACAACATTTGTGTATATAGGGGCACAAAAAACAAGGAAGGGGTAGGAAAAGGTAGAGATAAAAAATAATAAAAAAAAACAAGTATGGTTATAGTGAATGTATATTATTACTTACCGTGGGATCCATACTCCCGTCGAAGTGGCTGAGCATCAGTCACACGTCCTGAACGCTCTGGACTGTGGGGCAATTCTAAACTGGAATTTGATCTGTGCAAAGTAAGCCCGCCACGGCTGATACGACTCCCACCAGCACTGCCGCCAGTTCCGCTGCCCATCACCGCCAGCTGAGCAATCATCTCGTCATTCTGTAATACAATCATTCAATAATTCATTATGCATTAATTCAATTCATTATTTAGCTTTTAATTTATTTTTCTTATTATTTATTGTCATTAGTCATTTCTCAATTCATTATCAATTTTATAATACAGAGATTAAAGATACTACTGTTTGTAGTTCTTGTAGTATATTACAGATATATGTAATACGCATTGTGATTGGAACCCGATTGCGTAAGTTTATCGATATCATTCAGTAATCTAAACGTGTGTAGTCAGAGACGACAGCCAAACCGGCTAAAACAGAGAATACCACACTCGTGTGTATCGTATCGGGAATTAACACACAAGTTAAGAGAGACCGCATTGCAAGACGTCATCAGCCGCTGTGTGTGCACCACCGACTGAACCAGTTATGCTAATACATACACATCTATACACACATACATTCATACATTTATGTACCTATATATAATACCGGACATTCTTTTTCGGTTGGAGAATCGAATGAGGCATCCACTGGGCCAATACACTCAAATACTTTAAATACTTGACCTTTGTCAAAACAACTTTTATATACGTACATATAACTTTTATTGAACATCATTCGCTCATTGATTGATTAATCAATTCTTTTTTTTGTAATGATTATTTTTAACTTGCTGTAAATTATAAATCAACATTTTTTACTCCAAAATTCAACTGGAGTTCAGATAAGATGAGAAAAATAAATCTTCAATTTTTTACATTTTTTTTTTTTTTATTATTAATTTTTGCTACTTCTGGTATCATTAATTAATTTACTAATTTAAGAAATTTTATTGAAAAAATATTTTTAAATTTTATCTTACACCAAAAGAATTTCGTTTGACATACTTAAAAATACAAAGAATTTGAACCAAAAAAAATAAATAAGTTAATAGATTAAACTCTTTTTTAATCTATGGAAAAATGAATGATTTTATTTTAAAAAATAATTGAATTATTTATTTAAAATAATTGAAAAATTTTTTTTTTATTTTTAAATTTTATCTTGCTCCAAAAGAATTTCGTTTGACATACTTAAAATAAAAAGAATTTAAACCAAAAAAAAAAAAAAATAAATTAATAGATTAAACTCTTTTTTAATCTATGAAAAAATGAATAATTTTATTTTCCCGGTAAAAGCTAAAATATGTGAAGACTCATAGAGTAATTACAGCGCTATTCAGCAACAAATAATAAAACTAATAATTATAAAATTAGCGGTGTAATTTGAAGGTTGAATATTTAATATATTAAAGCAGTTAAAAATAATAAATTAGTATAATGAATCGGTGGGAACAGAACGCACATGTGCGTGTGGATCCCGAGTTAGAGTTAGAGTCTTTTGTCGTCGTTGTCTACGTCGACGTACTGATACTCGTGGTGGTTAGCAGTGATGGGATGGCGCCCTGTACACACGGTATATAATACACTACATACTAGTGTACTGTACAGTAGTGTTTTACGTTGTCTGTCGTCGGGGCATCGAACTCAGACCCAACTCAGCTGCAATACATTCACACAAGTGATGTGTATAAACCATCGCCATCACCATCACCATCACCATCACCACCACCAGCAGCAGCAGCAGCAGCAGCAGCAGCAGCAGCAACAACAACAACCAAACCCAACTACATCTCGTTGACTTTACTCAAGTTAAACTCTTACTCGTTGGACTCGTTCACTGGTTAGCTTGTTGTATTCCCTGCACCTCTTTATTTCTTTATATTACTATATACCATCCAGCCATCCAGCCATCCAGCTAGTACTCCAATCCATCGCTCAGTGCTTCTTCACTTTACTTGTCCATCGCTTAACTCAACTCAACTCTACTCATACTCATACTAATACTCCTTTTCTTTTATTTTAGAAACAATGAGTGCTACCGGTTTGTATAATATTCCATATCCCATACAGAATAATACAATGATCTATGTACACTAAATATAAACCATTCTATCCATATTATTCTGCTTTGTCTTAAAAATCCGTAATAAGACCGGCATTTTCTCTCAACAACTTACAGTCGTAACAATTTAAATTTCTCTTATTTATTAATTTTTTTTTTAAATTTAATTTCATTTCATTGTTTCCTTACTTATTTACTATGCTTCGATACAATACATATTCACTCTTTTACATCACTACGCATTCACACTCAAGTTACTACAAAACACGCGTCGCGTCATGCCGTTACGAATACGCGTATTCATTAGTACAATAATACATTGTTATTTCACTTGCAATTAGACATGAATTTGAGTTATGAATTTATCGTCGAACGATCAACTGAAAGTAAGATAAATAAGTATATCTATATGTATTTCTTGTCATTAACATTCAGATATTTAAAATTTTTTTTTTTTTAAATTCAAGTATTTAAAAATCATCAATCATAAACTATTAAAGGTTTCGTTTTTAAAATTTAACTTACTATCTTTACATTATTTAAAAACTATCAAAAATACATTAATTTTAATATTTTTATCATGATTTTAACATTTTTGTCAGGGTAAATTTGGTTTTTTAATAATCATAAAAATTTATCAATATAAGTTCATCAATTAAGTCCAAATCGATGAATAATTTAGTAATGTAACAAAGAAATTGAATTAAAAATAATTGTAATCTCATTAAGATATTAGTTGAGGGATTTCCGTAGTGTAGAATGCAGATTAACAGGGTATAGGGTAGTCTGTTGATCTAAAATGTTATAAAATGTGTTAAATAAATAATTTTTCCAAGAAGTAAGACGTAACTATAAATAACCGAAGTTTATAACGTAGGTTTTATAGTCACCGGATTAGCTTTTACTGGCTTCTTTGTCCCCGTTGATGGTTAACTCTTGCCTCTGGGCACTCATCCAGTATATAAAAGCATATATATCCCCTCCTTTACTCCTCAATCCTCAATCTACAATCCTTACTCCAAACTCCATACTCCGTACTCCTTACTTACAACAATATGCATTAATATTATATTATTGTTGTTATTGTTAGTTAGTGAATACGTTAATTTATACGTAGCTTCCGTTTACGTTGGCCAATGAATTAATGAACAAAATTTTCTATTTTTTGCCATGCCTCGTAAGCCACGAACTATTATTTAGTCATTAAAGGAGTAGAATAGTGTTGATGTTGTAGATCAAGACAACAGCCTATAAGTACATAATAATAAATCACCGGTAATAGTAGTAGTAGTACAACTACTAGTAATAGTATTTGTAGTGTAGTCATTCAATCCAACTTCTTTCTCTTACGCTTTCTCTTTCTCGTAAATGTCGCTCGTCGTAAATTGCTAAAACCGCGTGCTCTCATTTTTATCCTTTTCGCTTTATTATTATCTTGCAATGTTCTATTTATTAATTACTCATTCATTCATTCATTCAATATTTTACATACGCATCGATGCTTATGTACATACTTAAATATTAATACACGCATTAAAAAGACAATAAAAAAAAAAAATTAGTCTTAAAACAAAAGCCGATTAACAGTGTCAGGGATTTGAAAAATGAGGTTTCACATTTCTATTTTCTTACAAGCATATATAATCATTATAACTATGTAAAAATAACAATAATAAAATAAACTATTGTCAAGAATTTTAATATTAATAAAATCAGTGTATATACATAAGTACATATGGTTAATTATTCATTAAATGCATAATATGTATTGTGTATATACACTTTTATTATCCATGAGAAAATATGCAAATAATAAGCGATATTTTTTTTTTTAAGAAAATTATTAACATAAATTCTCTTGACAATTTATGTTATGTACTTACAAGTTATTATTAATAATCGATTATATTTAAATAAATTAAATTTATTAACCTACATTTAATTACGTACTGTTTAATAAAATTAAAAAAAAAATGATATTAAAGTTAGCAGGCGTTTGACAATTTTTTAATTTTTTTTAATAAATAAATTTGCTTCGAAAAATTATTTCTAAAAAATTGGATTTTTTATTTTCTAAATGTCAATTTATTTTTCTCATATTCTTTGACATAATTTATTTGTTAAAAAAATTCTTAAAATTATAAAATATCTGCTAAATTAATTTTTATAAAAAAAAAAAAAAGTAAATTATTATTTTCTGTTTAAAATATTTTAACAAAATACTTCAAGTGTTAGATAGCTTTAAAAGACACAAGGCCGCTGATAAACGACTGTCATTATTGTCTGATATACCGATAATAACCATACCAGCTCAATTTTAAAAATTGAAATAATATTTCAATAATATGAGTGACTAAAAGTTTTTCAATTGTGTACAAAAAGTAGAAAAAAAATTATTTTTTGATGTTGATATTAGTCAGCGTTTTAATATAATAAGAAAGTAACTTAATAACGTAATACTAAATGTTTACACTTGAAAATAAATAAAAGTAAAACTCACATTATTAAATAAAGTTGAATGTCGCTGGCGCGACAAACACGGAAATGCGAGCGGTAGCCCGGTCTCTCGTTTCCTCGCCAATATAGTTGAAGTTTCCGTTTCTTGATAAATCTTCCTTGATTAAAAATAATAAAACAAACAGTAACACAAGTATCTTTTAACCAATATATCTGTCTTAAATAATATGCAATAATACCTCATATTATCACTAAAAAACACGATTTAACAAAACATCAACATCAGCGTCCACTTTCATCTATAATCTATTAACAATAATAACAACAACAACAGCAGCAGCAGCAGTAACAACAAAAAACATGTATGATTAATCCTAGTGAGCGTACTTATACCAGCCACTTGCATTGATTAAAAACTACCATCACGCAATGTAACATCTGAGCCGAGGTGGTTGCTGTTAGATATAATCATCCAACGATTACATGGTGAACGTCACATACACATTATGTACACTAAGCGGAAATATTAAAACAAAAAATAATATCTTGCGTTTTAAAAAGTCGAAAAAAAAAAAAAACTTCCACTGCACTAGTACGACTTGTTAGTCGTTACTTGTACTCGTTATATATTTACGAGAGTCCTATCCGCATCCAATCCACTCTTACTCTAATATAAAATATAAACTGGTAAGTAAGCAGCAGCAGGAGCAGGAGCAGGAGCAGGAGCAGCACCGTGTCTGTCACATTCTACTATGAAATACATGAATAGAAGGAGGTAGCCGTGATGTTTGAATGGCCTCGAGAGTCGTTGGAAGACAACGGAACTCAACGTATACGTGAGACCATTTAAAAAAGGTATCAAAACGCATCTGAGACACCTTTGGGTAATTAATAAGGCCAAGGAAGCTATTTATCCTAAAAAAATAACACAAATTAAACAATGCTATAATTATTAATAAATTAAATAAAAATAAAAGTCATAGCATACACTTAATTAATTAAAACTACGCACCACATGTAAGTAAAATGGTTATAACACAAGCACACCACACATGTGAATCAAATGGTATGTATTATGGAGTCTTTTGACGATACGAGCCGTGATGATTTTATTAATTTATTTTTCTACACTTTTTAGTTTCAGTGTTTACCTCCTACGCGGCTTCAATAACATTTTCGTTTGCCTGCTGCTGGTCCGTAAATTCTTGAAACTACCAAGACGGCACATAACTTGTGCACATGTGGACTTTAAATCTGGCGTGTCCGTTGATTTCATAACTGTTACTCTCCCCGTTCTGTAGTATTAATATATATATATATATATACTTTAATAAGTTATATTATATATTTCATAAATAATAAACACTTGAGTTTGAGTACCTACTCTATTGCAATAATATAATTCTATGACCGTTCGATTTAATTGTCCACTCCAATCCACTTGGCAATTTTTTTTATTCTAAAATAAAACCCACAATGTGTATACTTATATACTTTTACAAAATTATTTTTCCTTGCATTCGTTGTGTCAAAGTCAATATAATAGGATTGTAAGAAAGGTTACAGAAAAAAATTTCTTTGTACTTAGCTACTAAGTTATTTGAGAGAAGCTTGACGGGGTACTATATACGTTCTTTTTCTTTTTCTTTGAATTGTATTGTCGTAGTTATGTTATAGAGTATTAGGTATAGGTAAGTATTAGGTATGGGTAGGTATACATCTACATCCACATATATACGTACACATTTAGGTATAGGTATTATTACTGACACTGGTGGTAGTAAAGGCAGCTGTGTTACAATTACAATGAATGCGAAGAAATGTCTGAAAAAAAAAAAATAAAAAATTTGTGTGATTTAATTGGCACGTGATAAAGAGTAAAATAAATTGGAGTAAACAATAAACATGATATTACATTACTATATTTTGGAGTGTATTAGTAAGTATAGCGCACAGAAAAAATCCACATAACAATTAAATCACATAATATTAGGCACTGTTATTAAATGCGTAGGAAGGTAAAATATAATATAAGTGAAATGAAAGAAGAAAATAAATTTATTTGTTCGCGCACGCACCTCAGAGCGCTCACTACACGAGTGTAACTGAGCTCGACACAACCGATGTTCAAAAGTTGGTGTTGGTGATGGCGGTGGAGATGGTGATGCCAGCGGGGATGAAAGAGACGAGAGACCGGTGAGTTGATGCCAAACGATTGCGATGGCGACGCCCGATGTTGTTGTAGTAGTGCTGTAAGAATTGCTCTGCTGAATAGAATAGAATAAGAAGGAGAATCTCTGGCTAAGGGATAGCAAGAGCAAGAGAAAAAGCAAGACTGTTTATGTTAGTTGTATACATACCTATGTACTACGTGAACGTGAAGATAAGGCTTATGAGGATGAGTAGAGAGAGATGGATCGGCTCTGATGTGAGCTGTTGATGTTTACGGTTGATGCTAGTTCACTACATATACGCTTTAGACTCTACTCACAGTTGACGGTATGAAGTGTGTAATCTTTTTTACACGGTGACGATGATGACGATATAATACTGTGACTATGCTAGTTGGAGTAAAAAAAATACTCCATCCCATTACATCCCGGGATGTAGAAGGAGTAGAGGATAAAACCTCTGTTAAGACAGAGACATATTTATATTATAACAAGTAAAGGGCAATAATTATTATTATTAGTATATAGAAAAGCATAGAGAATAATGTATGAATGTAAATATAAAATGTAAGACAGCAACAAGTCACTGCGGTGATATGAAGGTCTTGTCCCCTCCAAATCCATCTAACTTTTTACGCTCTTCTATTATTATATTATTCTTAATCCCCCTTTATATCTTAGACCACACCGTCGGATATATGTACATTATAATGTATGTATGTATAAATATATTTTACAAGGAGTTATCGCACAGTAAATCACATTACTAGGTTTTCTATTATTCAGAGAAACTCCCATTCCATATAATATAATGTATTTGCTCTGAAGATTGGTCAGCAATTCCAGGCATTTCCGAACCCTGTGACTCATTCCTCTCTCTTTTTAATAAAACCGTTTTTTTTTTTTTCTTTCTTCTTTTCTTCTTTTTTTACCTTATTTTCACACGCCTGTCGTATAAATACCTCAACAAGGTATCATGTATGTACTAACATCACATGAATTTTCTGGTACTCTAATAGCCATTTTTAGCTTTACTTATTTTGTTATTTTCTTTTTTGAGCAATACGAGTACGGGAGAATGATGCCCCTGTCCTACATGTTACGGTAGTACCCACGCTAATTACACCATCATAATCATAGTCATAGTTATAATCATAATCATGATGGTGGTGATGATGATGATGATCAGCGTTTGAATAAGACGGAGGTGGATAAGTTGCTGAATATTGGAATAGGCGATTCTTAAATAATGAGATTTACAATGTAAAATAAAAAAATATAAACTTTCGAGATTTTATCGTTGAATTTATTTGGAATTCATAAATAATAAATGGATGTAATGAATAAAAGAAGAATAGGATGCGCGTAAAAGAGTAGGTTTATTTTAATATAGTTTTTTTTTTTTTTTTTTTTTTAGTTTATGTATCGGGGGGAAAAAATAAAAACAAACTCAGTTGACCGGTTGATAGTGCGTATAGTATGGCATGTGTTTAAACCGGATGTAATGGTATGTAGATTCAGTGAATGAACGAGCGGATGGGTGGTAGTAGGTACACTCCCTATTTCCTTTTGCCAAAAATATTTTTCTTTGTTTCAGAGCAATAAATTCAATCGAGTATATACTTCCCTTCTTTTCCTGTTTTTTAAAATTTTTTATTTTTTGTCATCATAATTGTAATAAAAAATTATTGTTTTTTTGTTATTTACAAAATAAATAATTATTTATGTGAATTTATGAGATCGTTAACTTCAGTATCCATTTCATGTTTCTCACGTTGTTCTGAAAGATCGAACATCGGCAGTGGTTTCATGCGTCTTGTTATTCGCTCTATTTTTTTCGTCATTTCTATTTCAAGTGGTCTACTTATAAAATTGATAACTCTGCCATTTGGTTTTCCACCAACTCTTCCGGTTCTTCCACATCTGAAATTATTCAATTAATTATCATAATTTATCATATTACCTTTTTAAATCATTATCTTAGATTAAAAATTTATTCAAAAAATTTTAACTTAAATATATTAAAATAATTAATTACCTGTGTATATATTCAATAGTACTTAGTGGAAAATCAAAATTAATAATACAGTCGACCATAATAGTATCTAAACCTCTAGCTCCAGCATTTGTCGTCGACAATATATTAACTTCACCATTTTTAAATGCCCTGTACTTGCCGTTTCGTATCAACGCTGGAATCGAGCCATGTAAATTAAATGTTTTTATATTCATCTGATTCAAAAATATGGAAATCCAGTCACACGTTGCGCTATCATTACTGAATATCAATGTTGGTTCTCGTCTTAGCGCACGTGGTTTTACTAATTTCAGAAGCATTGGTGGCTTCTGTGTCGACCCAAGTCGCATAAACTTTTGAGGCACCAGCACTTTATGCGTATTAGCCGTCGAAATTTGTATAAGAGAATCCGTCTTAAGCATACAATAAATAAATAAATAATTAATAAAATTTACTCTAGATAAACAAATAAATTAATATCAATTTTTAAAATACATACATTAATACATTTACTTAAATATTCGGGCATTTCTGAAGGAAAAGTAGCTGAAGATAACGTTAGTTGACTACTTTCCGGAAGGTTTTCGTTAATTTGTTCATATCCAAACTGAAATTATATTTAATAGTTATTATTAATGACAAAATATCAACCTATTAATACTTTTAAAAATAATAATGGATAATTTATTAATGTACTTTGATTCTTTGAAGAAAATGTCCCAATTTTTCATCAAAAGTCTCATCAAAAAGTGCATGAGCTTCATCCAAAACTACATGGCGCACGTAGTCTAATTTGTAAAGCCTCACAGTTGTTAACTTACTTACAACTCCAACTGTACCGACTAAAATATCAACATCTTTAACTGATGGATTTCGCATCATCCTTTTAGTTTTACCTCCACTTATTGCTTTGACACTGATATCTAAGCCCATGGCCAGTTTTTTTGCTTCAGTCTAAATAAAAAATCATTTTATTAATAATTTACTCTGACTTATTTATACTTAGACTCGACTATTATTAAAAATTTATTTACTCCAATTTGATGTGCTAATTCTTTGCTGGGAGAAAGAATCAAAGCCAAAGGAGAATTAGCCGGTCTATCTTGGATCTGTTTTTTCCATTTTAATATTTGAGTCATTATAGGAAGTAAAAACGTCAATGTTTTTCCACATCCTGTTTCACCAGTTATAAATATATTTTGTCCATCTAATATTTCAGATATTCCACGTTTTTGTATCACTGTCGGATCCTCAATGCCGAGTGCTTTAAGATTTTCAATTAAACGTTTATCAATACCTAAATCACTAAACGAATTGTGTTCACATTTTTCTTCATCTTCCTGAAAACAGATATAATTAATTAATAACAAAAATAGACATACCAGTCTAGTTAAATAAATGCACAAACCTCAAGTACAGGAAAAATTGTAAAATAATCTCCTTTAGATTTAACATTATGCCAACTCCCAGATGCTATTGGCATGTCTTCAAATTTTTTATACACTTTACCAGGATAAAAATTAAATACCTTTTTTCTACATTGTATTATTGGTTTGACAGAATCATTTTTAATTACTTCTTGAGTATCATTATTATCATCATCATCAAGTTCTGGATACATAAGTATTGAACTTTGTCTCCATATTGCTGACAACTAAATTTTAATTAAAAATACGTGTAAGTAAAATTTAATTTTTATCAATAATTCAAAATAAAAATACTAAAAAAAAAATTTTTAATACTTACAGAATACTTTCGAAGGTTATGAATTCCACTAACTTCTGCTACTTGGCACAATTTACACAATTGCCGAAACATATTTATGGCTTATGATTAATAAAAAAAGTAATCAACAATTAATAAATTAACAATTGTTCGTAAATGTCATTATTTGATTACTTGTCTTGTTGAAATAAATACCAAAAGTAAAATAATAACAATGAGATACTACACATGGCACAGTTATCTACCTTACCAACAAAATGGAAATAAAAATATAAAAATAAAAATCAAATCACTTTGCGCGTAAAATTTAAAATAACAATAGACTTGGAAGCTATTCATAAATGCATTGTATCTTTTTATATTATAAATATATATATATATATATATATACGTATTTTTATATTAAATGCGTCAGAGTTTAAATATATAATTATAAATAATCTAATAAAATATTCAAGCTTTCATATTTATAAATATAACAAATGTTATTAATTTTTTATTTTTGCAAGAAGATATGATATTATAAAAAAATGAAAATTAATTTGCCCGGTATTTGAAAATTTATCTAATAAATAAATAATGGCAAAAAAATGAGGAAAAAAAAGTTGACATATGTAGAAATTTTATAAAATTGCCTTTTAAAAAAATGCAATTTTTTCAAAATAATTTTTCGAAAGAAATTTGTATGTTAAATAAAATAAAAAAATTTTCAAGTGACTGCTATCTTTAGTGTCATTGTAAAAAATTATAAACCAAAAATTGTTTTGAATTAAAATATTTTTGACAATATTGAAAAATTAATAAAGCTCAAAGATTTTAATTTTTTAATATTATTAAATTAATCTTTTCAAAATAACAAATTGAAGCTCTAAATATTATAATAAAGACAAAATATTATTTATTGAATGAAGATATATTACTATAACTGAGATAAAAAAACTATTGTTTATTCATTTTTACTATAAACGCAATAGATATGAATGAAAGAAAAGGATGTCACGCTGGTATAGACAGTGATAAGTAAAATCAATGAAAGCCTTGAGTTTGCGTAGAAACCGCCACCCACTCGCTAATGAAAATTTTTTACATTTTTTTTATCTATCCTAAAAAGCTATAAGCTCACCAACACTTCATCAATAGTCACACTATCAATACACCGAGTACCTGAAAGGTAAGTTAAAATAATTAATTTATTATTATATCTTACATAAACTAAAATCCATAACTACCCTCGTGATTTGTCGCTTCAATAAATTTGTTTCTATAGTCAGTAGTTTTGATTTTAAAATTATTAACTTGACAACCAAACAGCTGTTTATAATTGAATAAAAATTGTTTTATTTTTAACAGGCTTTACAATGCCTTCGGTCCGGAGGATGATTCTCGGGCATGTAATGTCTGGAATTTGCTCTAAAATGAATCGAATTAAACGTCTGGATGGTGATGGAATGGAGACACCTTTAAAGAGATGTTTGACTACTTTTGATATGACATTTTTGGGTAAGTAATATAATAATAATTAATCTATCAACTAACTAATAATAGTATCAATAATTGATTTTTCATTATTGATAAAAATATAATTAAATTTGTGTAGGTGTTGGTCATATGATGGGAGCCGGTATTTATGTCCTGACTGGCCAAGTAGCTCATTCAATAGCTGGACCCGCAATAATAATAAGTTTCGCGTTGGCTGGACTGGCATCAGCTTTTGCTGCCTACTGTTATGCTGAATTCGGTGCTCGTGTCCCGAAAGCTGGAAGCGCTTATGTCTACACTTATGTGACAATAGGCGAGTTCTGGGCATTCGTTATTGGTTGGAATATTATTTTGGAACATATGATAGGTAATTATTAAAATAAGACTTTTGATATCTGCGGCGGTATTTAAAATTAAAGCAATTAAAGATAATTCACTTGATAATATTAACAGGTGCTGCTTCAGTAGCAAGAGCTTGGAGTGGTTACGTAGATTCATTGACAGGAGGAACACTTAGCAATCTTACAAGTGATTTTATGAGTGGACACGAGATGAGCCCATCCCTTGGCCATATACCAGATCCATTGGCTTGCATACTCTGTTTAGTATACGCTCTTATTCTTGGCTCTGGTGTAAAAGTATCGTCACGTCTGAATTCTGTTCTTACTATGGTCAATCTTGGTGTTATTGGCTTAGTGATTGGACTCGGATGTCAGTATGCCAATTTTGGTAATTGGACCGATGAAAAACATTATGGATTTATGCCATTTGGTATTGCCGGTGTTATGGCAGGTAATTTATATTTTAATATCCTTAAAAATAAATTTATACTTGCTATTTTTTAAGTTATAATTTTATGATACTTCTATATAGTAAGCAAACATTTGATAATTGTTTATACTACTAAAGTTAGCCGACGTTTCTAATTTTTTTATTTTTTTTTTGTTTATTAAATTGGAATAAAAAAATATTTTTTAAAAATTGCACTAAAAGTTTTTCAATTTTTTTTGTAATAATTTTTTGAATAAAAAAAATTAATATTTTTTTAGATCTCGGCCAACTTAATTTTCATAATTTTTTGATAAATAAACTAGGCCTAGAAAATTATTTTTAATAAATTACATTTATAATTTTTTAAAGCTCCAAAAATAGAATATTTTTTTTATCAATTTTTCTTGCTATAATTTCTTTGTTAAAAAAATTTTTTAAATTATCAAATGTCTCTTAATTTCAATATCATATCATTTTTATAACTTTTCATTTCATTGAAATAATAATAATAATAACAATTTATTTAATAAAGGTGCTGCGAAATGTTTTTATGCATTTGTTGGATTTGATTCAATCGCAAGCTGCGGCGAAGAAGCGCGAAACCCAAGCAAAAGTATACCACGAGCAACATCATTTTCAATGATAATAGTCGTGATTGGTTACATACTACTCAGCGGAATGCTAACGCTAGTTGTACCTTACTGGGAAATAAATCCAACTGCAGCATTATCTGAGGCATTCGCATCCCGAGGCGTCACCTGGGCAAAGTATGTCATCAGCATTGGAGCGCTCTGCGGGATGACGACGACTCTCTTTGGGTCATTATTCTCACTTCCAAGAATAATTTACGCCATGGCCAGTGATGGTCTACTCTTCTCATTCCTCGGTCGTGTCAATGAACGAACACAACTACCGATTATTAATCTAGCCATCAGCGGTGTCATCTGTTCTATAATAGCTCTGCTGTTTGATCTAGCACATCTCGTCGAATTCATGTCCATTGGAACTTTTCTAGCCTACACTATTGTCTCGGCAAGTGTAATTATTTTACGATATAGGCCCATCAATGATATTCCACATTTTATTCCAACAAAGACACATGAAGCCGAATCGCCGAGCGACACCAGTAGCACCAGCAGTCTAACAGATTCATCCCCCGACGACTCGGAGCTTATTGAGAGCCAAAAAGTTAATCCTGTCGGCAGACTGAAGAAACGTTACGCTAAATTAGCTAATATTATTGGAAATTGGGAACCGGGAACCGCTGTAATGGCAGCGTTAATAATTTACATTGCTGGATGCATTTGTATTTCAGTACTTTTACTTGGTCTTACGTCACCGTTTGATCAAGAACCATCTTGGTGGAATAATTTACTTTATTTCTTCGTTTCATTGATTATGGTTGCCTGTTTACTGGTTATTGGAGCACACGAACAATGCCCAGCCGTTGATGATAAATTCCGGGTACATTTTGTACCTTTAATTCCTGCAATCAGTATTTATATTAACATTCTTCTCATGAGTCATTTGCAATTACTTACGTGGCTTCGCTTCTTTGTGTGGATGTTTCTAGGTATGTCATTCATTCATTTTTTATTCAAAATTATTAATAAATTATTATCTCATCACTCATCATAAGTATATGGCTAGGATTTTTGCCTTAATTTCAAAATAACAATTAATAATTAATGGTGTCAAATTTTTGATATTACGGCAGAAATATTGGACGTATAAAAAAGTTTCTTAAATAAAACTTTTTTAAAATTTAATTTTATAAAAAAAATGTTTCTTATAATTTTATCTTGAGACCAACAAAACTTTTTTTTTTAAGACTAATATTTTCGGCAAAAATCTTAATTCTAGTCAACAATTATCACTGCTACTTTTATGATTATTAATATATTTTTTTTTTTTTTTTTTTCAGGTATTTTAATTTACTTCCTATATGGAATTCATCACAGCAAAGAAGCAGGTCCTAATTCTTATTCTGTTCTGATGACAAGATTTGAAGAAGAACAAGCTCAATCGAGGAATAAAGTAAACTCTGGCTTAAGATTTAAACCAACTCGGTTATTAAAGTCGAAAAAGAATTCTGATAAGCAACCTATCCTCAATTCCGATTCATATCGTTAAAACCAATTCAGTATTATTCATTAATTACTGTTATTATTTGTCAGTTATTATATTTTATTAAATATAAAACACATGCTGGTACATTGTAAAGACTGGATTATTTTAATTAAACTTGTCACAAATTGTAATTGTTAATTAAAAGTCGCTGTACGTACAAATTGCAGTTCTATAGAAAAATATCTACATATTATAAATGTGTATCAATTACAATAACTGTCTTCATACTATAAAAAATGTAATTATTGTCTCGTAGGCCTATTAATATTTAAAAAAAAAAAAAAAAAAAGTATTTATGAAACTGTTGAAACAATTGTAAATGATATATAAAATGTATAATATAAATCATTATTTTATTTCGATAGTTTAATTTCTAATTTATAAGTATTATCGTAAATTTTAAGATTAATGGCTGGTCGTACATTTATTACTTTTTAATCAATGATCTATGATCGTATTACAACAACATGAACGATTGTAGTTGTAGAAAAAATATTATGATGTTAAAAAAATTTTTTATATTAAATTTAGCAACATGTGTCAATGCATACTGAAGTTTTGTGTCATTAGTTTATGCGTAATTAATAAATTATTTATTACTATTTATGTTACTGGTGAAGTAGTACAAGATTGGTCACAGCTTTTAAGAAAACCGTATGATCAAGAAGAACCAATAGCTGAAAGAGGTCATCTGCAAGATACAGAGCCTCCGAATCATGATGAAGATGCCAATAATCCGTGTCCGGTAGTGAAAAATGGTCAGCATGCACCACAGCCTTGGGATATTAATTCCGTTCATGGCACGGGTAAACAATGGCATCCTCATTTACCTGGAGTTAATAATATTAATAATGAAAAATATAATGAACAAGAAAATGTACAAGAGTCTAATTGTAAAGACGATTCAAGTGACGTTGTTATAAAAATTCTTTTCAATCGTGATGAGCCTTGTGACAAAAAAAATACAACCATACGATTTGATCAAAACTCAAAATATCAAGTATTTAGTAAACCTGGTGTTAATGTTAATATATCAAATACTCATAATAATATGTGGAAAAAATAAATTTTAATGATATTATTATATTAAATAAAATTATTCGTTAATTGTATTAAAGAATTTATTATAATTATTTAAATTGTTTATTATAACTGTTTAAAAATAATATTTTATTTAAAATTAATAAATTGTGCTAAATAAATATTGTCGGTAATTATTTCCAGGAGAATAAAAATCGAAAGAGATCTAAATTATTATTATTATTATTATTTATTATCTATTAATAAATAATACCCTTAAATAATATTATTAAATAATACCTCGTCTGTAATGATAGTTCTCTTTTCGAGATACTTTATCTCTTTCAATTTTTAAATAAATAAATCATGTATTATTGACAGTTTTTAGCATTTTCGATTTTAAAATTAAACCTCATTGTAATAATAATTCATTCACTAAAATGAAAAATAATAGTTCACAAATATTGACATTTACTCAGTAAAAATTTAACGATTTAACAATAAATAAGACGTAACAAGTGTTAGCTTTTTTGAGGTATCACTTTCCAAGCGGAAATTGGTCGTAATTGTAAGTAATTTATTTTTCTTCGGCCCCATTTGAACCATAAGTATCCCACAATCACACACAAAATACTCTCAATGTAATAACCATCGAGCACAGTAAGACAAGTCCCTTTGGAACCTATTTCACATTGCTGAAATAATAAATAACAATAAACAGAAAATAAATATAATTCAAAATAAATATTTTAAATAAACTGTATTATTTACCTCACGCTCTACGGAAGTACTACAATCATTAGCAGGATCAGTACTGCATGATCTCCAAGTTAATGTATCAACAAACCAAAGTGCTGCTGTCGCTGGCCAATTACCACCGAGATTGCACAGAGTATTTAAAAATGTCATGTAAGTACCTCCAACAGCTGGATCACTTATTTTAGCGAAGAAAGCCATGGATGCAACAAACATACTCGTCGAAGCAAACTAATTAAAAAAATAAATAATTTAAAACAAATTTACAAATCAAATATTAAATAAAAATTAATTTAGCATATATTTAATAATTTTAAAAATTTTATAACAAAAAAAGTACGGCAAAAAAATTATAAAAAAAATCTAAAGTAGAAATTTTAAAAAGTAAAAAAATGCAATTTTTCAAAAATAATTTATTGGGACAAATTTTTTTGTTAAAAAAAAAAATTAAAAAATTATCAAGTAACTGTTAACTTTGATGTCATAGTTTTAAATAAAAGTATTTTTACATACCTGGTGTATTGCGTAAAAAGTAATAACAATAATACAATAATATAATGGTACGTCACCATTATTGACGAAAGACGGTGTGACCCAAACTAAACCAGCGGCAACTAGCCCAAATGCTAATCTATTAAATAAATTGATTAATTTAGTAGTTGAGTTAAATGTTTGATGTCGACAATTATTGAAATAATTTTTTAAATTTACCTATACGGCATCGCCTTCAAGTAAATATCCATTGGACGTGGTCCTAATGTGTATTTAGATACTACACAAGATAAAATAATTTGCATTGGTATCAATGGCACAGCCATCAATGTTAATTTTTCTTTTGGTACTCCAGCATCGACAAGTTTCAATCCTGTTACTGCGTCACAAGCGGAAAATCCAATCTATTTAATGAAATTATTTATTTTTATTTTAAATTATTTGTAATTAAAAAAAATATTGATATTTTATTTTTTAACCTTGGTAGTGAGTAAAATTAATGCTGTAGTTTTAATTGACGGTAGCTTTATCGTACACCAGAGTAAATGATAAGCGTGTTTGATATTTGTGAAAAAATCTTCACTTTTAACATGTTTTTCGTCTACTTCGTGTTTTAATATCGCAACTAGTGTCGTTGCAGCAATAAATATCCATCCCCAAAAGTATAAAAATCCTATTAAATAAAATAAAATAAAATATTAAATAATGATAATTTGTGATCAATGATTATATTGAAGGTTTTATTACCAGGTAGTGTTAAAATTCCGTGATCAGAAGGTACGGAACGTAGATAGCTATTGCAAAGTGTTGGAGATTCCAAGGCAATAAATAAAACATAACCCAGGAAATATCCTGCCGTTTGACCAACGCTATTACAAGTTGATGCGTATCCTACATTTTGTCTATAAATAATAAAAATATGTCAAGAAATTTAATCTATACTAATATTATAAAGAGGAAAGATTTGATTGTTTGTTTGTTTGCATTGAATAGGCTCCGAAACTACTGAACCGATTTGAAAAATTCTTTCACTGTTGGGAAGCTACACATTATCCCCGGGTGATATAGGCTATATTATATTATAATTAATTTTAAAATTGTTGTTAAATATCCGTGCGAAGCTGGGGCAGACTGTTAGTATTTAATAATCTTTAAATTACCTTTTTAACATTGTCAATGCCCAACCATCGACAGCTATGTCTTGCGTTGCTGCTAGGACATTTAGAGTAAAAAATAAAATTGTAAGTAATCCTATATTTGGTGCTTCAGTATCTGAACCCAACCAGTCTTGTACACAACCAGATAAATACAACATAAAAATACCCATCGCATATTGAGTAGGTATTAACCACGTCTTACGACGTCCAAATCTACGTGAGTAAATAGCATCTACTATTGGTGCCCATAGTAATTTTAATGAGAATGGCCATTGTACAAAACTAAATTCAGCCTGAAAAAATATAAAACTTTTATTCTGACACTAGAGTTTAATTTTTGCACACTTCTGCAAACTATCACTTAAATATGTTTATATAATCAGACTAATTTTGTTAATAATCTTAAACTTTATTATTTTTTTAATAGTAACTTTACCTGTTGTTTATAAGAAATATGTCTATTCTGAAGGATCATTGGCATTGCACTACAAAGACCTAACGGAATGCCTTGTAATAAATATAAAAAAAGGAGTAATGCAATATTTCCTTCATCACCACGGATATCACTGTCTTCAGCAATATTTGAATCTACCACCTGTCCATTCTCTGAATCTTCTTTATCTATTTTACGCTTCATATTTATTCTCAAACTTAATTAAAAATCTGAAACAAATATTCAGTAAATGAAAAACTGATTCACAGAAAATAAATAAATAACATTATAAGTAATTACTGTACCTTAAAAAAAAAAAACTACCGAAGACGAATAATCACAATTTGTACTTTAAAATAACATCCGTAAAAAAAAAAAAAAAAAATAACAAACTATCAAAGAAAATAATTAAATCGTTTGATTTCTAGCTTAATCATCATCATTGTTGTCATATATGATAGATAACCTATTGTCGTAGAGAATTAAAACCTGAAAAATAACAATATTTATAAAATGATTTGGAGTTAATTTATGAGTTAACACAAATAAATATTAATTTTTAAGTAACATACTAATAAAAGTCGGTATATTAATTGTTAATTGATTTTTACACGTGTACATTAAGTATGACTGATGGAATAAAATGTAATATTTTTTGTATACCTATGTTATAAATGTTTGTATAATGATGATAGTGATAAAGAACTAAAGTCAAAGCTATATAAACTGCCACGGTGCCACGTTGTTGTATTGGTACGTGGTCGAATAAGAAAGCACTGGCGCTAATATCTCATTTTTTTATTCCCTCTATTCATTCTCTCTTTTCACTAGCTTTGCTCATCACACATCCATATATTGCCGCACACACACGTCAACCCACACAATAATCACTAGCTGCTTCACACATACACAACACATCTCCAGCTGGTCTTTTCGTAGTCAGAACTCAGAAGCACTCGTCATTTTCCAACACAACCATACACAACAATTACACATCGCACTAGTTACTTGCAGTACACTCTACTCTGTACAGCTCGTGGGTGAGCTGTGACATCTTGATAATAAAAATAATAATTTTTTTTTCCTTATCAGGCCATTTTATTTCTAACTATTAAAAAAATAGTTTAACTACAGTGATAGGTGCCAAAAATTATCAACAAATAATATGTGTACAAAAAAGTAGACCATACTTGTAGTTGGATATTAAAATATATTTTTTGATGAGCCAAGGTCCGTTGACATATCATAAATTATTGCACTGTACAGTAGAAGGTAAATATGTCATGTTTTTTTTTTTTTTTTTTTTTTAATTATTAAATACTCATTAATTATATCCATAGTCATTAAATAATAGTCATAGTACTGATAATAATTATTCAATTTATATTATATGCTATCATAATAGATGTAATGTATTTTTTTAAGAAATAAAATTTTGACCTTATTGCTTGTATGTATATATGCAAGTACATTGTATTAATGAAAAAAAATCGTTGAATGTTTCACGCGATTGATTTGTCAAGTGGATAAGAAAAGTAATCTACTGTTTAAATAATAATAATGCTGTTTAAAATAAAACATGGCACTCCTTGTAAATCGTGAGTCACGCGTCATTGTTTCATTTATTGCACTTAAATATTGCATTATATTAATTATTTTATCCAGTGAGATGAGTTAACAAATATTTTATTATTTTTATAGGTACATAAGTATTAATAATGTCAGCACCACCACCTCCACCGCCGCCAACGTTTAATATAGCAAACGCAGCTGGTGGTGACCAAGGCAGAGGTTTATTATTACAGTCAATAAGAGCTGGAAAAAGTTTAAAAAAAACAGTTACTGTTGACAAGAGCGCTCCTTGTATAAATGGTAAAATTATCATCATTTATTTTATAATTGTACTTTAGTGTTTTTTTCTTTTCTATGTAAAATAACTTTCATTTCTTTTTTTTTTCTCACAGGTAAAGTGAAGAATGGCCCCACGGCTGCAATCAGTTCATCAGCTGGAAACAGTAACAGTTTCATTAGCAACGGTGGTAGCAATAGCAATAACAGCAGTCCAGCTCCGCTGGCTCTTGGTGGACTGTTTGCTGGGGGTATGCCAAAGTTGAAGCCCACTGGCTTACGCAGTACCATTGTAGAAAGAGATTCACCAGCGTCATTACCAGTTTCAACTGGGTCGAGTCCATCGCCGGTTATTACTAATAGTAATACCATTAATAATAATAATAATAATAATAACAATAATAGTAACAATAACAACCACAACAACAACAACAACAACAGCAGCAGCACAATGAAACGTGGACCACCTCCTGTTCCACCTCCTGCAGCTCAAAAGCCTCAAATATCATTACCACAAGTAAATATTTATTCGACGATCTAATTAGCAATTGGTCTAACTCCTTATTTTTTAGAGGGTGATTATTAAATATTCTCGTGCAGCAATAGTCCAATTATAAATTATTTGAATGATACAAACCAAAATATTATACTTCTATAAGATTTTAAATTGTTTTTTAAAGTGATAATAAATTTTAAACTAATTGTTTTTTCGTACAAATGGAAGATTCTCTAAAATAGAGTTAGATAATTTGCTAATTAGAACGTCGTGTTGATCAATATCATCTGATACAATGTACAGATTAAATAATAATTGTTATTTTTAATTATCAGTCATCGTCAGAGAGTTCGACCGATTCACCACACAGAAGTTTTGGAAAACCTGCATTAGCACCAAAGCCACCAGGTACATCGACACTCCACAAACCACATCCACCTGTGAAAAAACCAGACTTACTTGGCGGAACGAGTGTATCAAGAGCTCAGAGTATGCGTTTACCAAGATCGCCCCCGGTACTCGCTCCAACGCCATCCTCGCTACATCAATCTCAGGATTGCTTGAATGAAACCCAGCATCGGCCAAATCGAGTTCTTCGACCGCCAGTAGCGCGGCCTCCATCGCCACCCACGTCATTTAAATCAGCAGCTCCACCGGCTCCGGTGACGCGGGTAGCACCACCACCACCACCACCAAACAGAGCCACCGTATCAGCACCTAGTATGCCTCCTCCACCTCCTCCGCCTCCTCATCGGTCTAATCCATCTCATCAAAGATTAGCCCCATTACCTCCAACTCCACCCACTCGCAATCTTTCATTATCCAATGGCCAAACGTTAATTAATCACAATACAGATTTAGAAGTAAGATTCAGCGACATGTTCCATTCAATCATCAACTTCCCGTCGCCTGAACCTTTTCGTGCAGTACCAAAACTCTACAATAGTAAAAATGGTGAGATTAATAATAATCAATCAATGTCTGTACTTGGATTCACACGCAAACGTCAATCTTATCCATTTTACAGTTAGCTTTTTTTTTTTCATATTCATAATATAATTATTGTTATTTTTTATTTTGCTTCAATGCATGGATTAATAGCTTTATGTTATTCATTTTAGTAATTAACACGTATCTAAATCACAATTATAATTATTATAATTACTTCTTTAATGTTAACAAATTTTATTGAATAAATTTTCAATGATTATTTTTATTAGAAAGCATGTATTTTTATATTATGTTCTTAATAATTCTCTCAACTTGCTACTTTAAGCTTTACAGAAACGACTATTTAATTAGGCGGCATGTTGTTAGATAAATATATTATTTTCATTTTTTTTTTTTATTTATTTATGTATAAATAATTGATATTTAAATTTGAAAATAAAAATATTACAGCGGCTAAGCAACAGGCTCCAGCACCTCCTCAACAATCAAACAATTCTAGCCCTAATACTTATCAATTGAATGCATCTGCTGGTGGTAAGCAATGGCAACACAATGCAGCGTCGTCAGCATGTTAAAGTATATATATCATAATTTTAAAATGTAATACTTATTACAAATTTTATATTTGTTTTAGAATAATTAATAATAGTTTATAAAAGTATTAACTCATTTTTTCTGTCGTTTAAATTGTATATAATTTTTTTTTTAATTTACATTAAACTCGAGTCAAATTTTAAGTCAAGACTTGCACAATTAAAATTATTAAATGTAATTAGTATAATTTATCAAGTGATAGAAGGCATTTTTTTTTTTTTATTGTACACTCGTAATGTTATTAACTGACAAAAATATATATAACAAATAACTTTATAGAATTTTTTTTTATAAATAAAAATAGTTAAATAGATTTAAAAGAAAATTTTATCAAAAAGGTATTAAAAAATATATCTAAAATACAATAATTACTGTTGGTTTATTAATTTTTTTTTATTAGATGGCATGTTGAAAGTAAAAGAATTTAATTCTCATTGTAATTGAGTACATAAATTTATACACGATTGTTATAACAAAAAAAAAAAAAAAAAAAAAAATAAACATGTAATTTTAAAAAATGAACTAGTATTTTTCTCATAAACAGTTGTAATAAACAATTGCCGTACATATGAAATCAACTAATAGTCGTGATTCGTAATAATCGTCTAATAATGACGATTACAATATTTATATATAAATAATACAAGAGTTGATTAACGCACCGTAATATTAATGATAATTATATTGAAATTGATAAGTAAGAAATATAATTTAAATTGCCTACACCTCGAGCTCTTTCTCGACAATTTTCCGATACTCGTCGAATCCACCTTCAATGCAACGTACAGTACCTTTGTCACATACCCACAGCTCGGTACATACCATTCGTATTAATCTTTCGTCGTGAGATACCAAAATAACACCGGCCTATAAATATAATAAATTTCCATTTAATAATAAGTAATTAACTAATATTAATAAATAATTAGTACTTATAAAATATAATACCTTGCATGTGTTAAGAGCTTTGCCGAGAGCCTCGATTGATTCAATATCAAGATGATTGGTCGGCTCATCTAATACTAAAAAGTTTGGAAACGCTGCGCACATCAATGCAAATGCAACTCGGGATTTTTGACCACCAGATAATGAGTTTATTGTTTGTAAAGCTAAATCACCGCTAACACCAAAACTACCAAGCATTCTTCTATATTCTTCGATGGGTTTTCCTGTAATAAAGTACATAATTAGCTATTAGTAATTAATACTTCATTAATTATAATATTTGAAACTTAAATAATTAAACTACCTGGAAAATGATTTTGTAAAAGTTCAACAGGACAAACTGTCAAGTCTAATTGATCTACGTGATGCTGACTGAAGTATCCGAACTTGAGGTTACGATTAAGATGCAAGGTACCACGGGTTGGACTTAGAGCTCCAGTAATAATTTTCAGTAACGTAGTTTTACCGGCTCCGTTTTCACCAACAATACAGATACGTGACTGTTGAGAGGCAGTGAGATTGATGTTGTTAAGAACGTATTCGTTAGTTGGTGAGCCTTCATAACGAAACATGACCTCGTTGAGTTGAATTATTGGCGAACTAAGTGGCTCTACGTCTGGGAAACGAAGTGTCACTTCAGGTTCTTTCTCAACAGCCTTCAACTCTGGACTATAAAGTCAAAAATATTTTATTAATTTTCATTTTTCATAAATACAATTAAAAAAATAGTAAAGATATTTTTTGAATACTTACAGTTTTTCCAACATTTTTATTTTACTTTGCACACTAGAAGCCCGATTGGCGTTATAGCGAAACCGATCAATGAACTCTTGAACGTGTGCTCTTTTAGCTTGCTGGGCTTCATACTCTCGTTGTAAATTCCTCTCACGTTCACCTTTTGTCTTTTCAAACTGATCGTAATTACCGCGGTATGCTTCAATTTTTTGTGCTTTCAGGTACAAAATATCCGTTGGAACCTGAATGTAAATAATTAATTCATTAATTAGCTATAAAAATTCATGCCAAATAACTAAAGAAGACAATAAAAAATTAAAATTTCGAGTACTAAATGAACGTACAGTGTCTAAGAAATTACGATCGTGAGAAACAACTAGTAACGTAGTAGGCCATGATTGAAGATACTTTTCCAACCAAACTATTGCTTTGATATCCAACATGTTAGTAGGTTCATCGAGTAATAACAGATCTGGTCTCGCGAAAAGTGCTCTTGCAAGTGCAAGACGCATTCTCCAACCCCCAGAAAATGATTTTGTCGGCCAAGACTGTCGTTCAACAGAAAATCCAAGACCCGATAATATTGCACTGGCTTTTGCCGGCGCTTTATCCACTTCTGCATGCTGCATCGCTTCATAAACCTTGGCTAATTCCTCATCAATCGCGTCATTCTTACCTCCCTCTTTCTCAATAAGTGCTTGAAGTTCTGCTTCGCGACTCAACAAATTACTCCTTTCAATATCACACTCTAAAACTGAATTTAACGCTGACGTTTCATTGCCAGCTACTTCCTGTTCCACGTGTAATACTCGTACATGTGCTGGTATTCTCAATTGTTTACTAATGAAAAAATATTAATTTTTTTTTTTTAAATTCATAACAGTTTATATCAACTAATTAATTACCTAGATATCATACGAAGAAGTGTAGTTTTTCCCAAACCATTTCTCCCAATTAAGCCATAACGTCTACCATAAGCTAACGTCAAATCAGCTCCTTGAAGCAAAACACGATCTCCATAGGCTACATCAAAGTTTTCAATTCTGATATCTTGGGCTCGGTTGGACGTTCCTTTGCTGTCCATACGACTATCTTTTTTACTCATCATCTGACTCGCAGTAGCCAATTCTATTGAAGGAGCCGCATTGTTGACTTTAGCGTTATTATTTGACTCATTACCTGTTCGCTTATCCAATTTTTGTTGAAGTTTCGCTTCAGCTTTCTCCAACTTTTTAGCGTCGACTTTCTGAAATTATTCACATGAATAAATCACTGAGAATTACATTTTTAACATTGGGCTCGTTCAAGTTTACTAAGTATTTAGTTAGACTGAGCTTAGATTAGTATATTGCAACGTTCCAATCAAATTAAGGAGCGACCTTTATTTTTGGTGAAATTTTACGGGTTAAAATTTCACCGAAGAAAAATTTATTATAAAATCTTTAAGGACCCTGGGAGTGATTCGTTACTTTGCATCAGCAAAGTGACGGACTTATACGTGAATAAATAGATATTATTAACAAAAAATCTCCAATGATAAGAGAGTCACCGGGCGGTAGTCTAAATACCAGCGTAAGAGCTGGGCCCCGACCACTTCATCAGGGTGTAACTTGAAATCCAGCGTCAACTATTTTGATTTGACGTTGTAAATTATTTTCTGCGGTTAGTCAGTTCAGGGCGAATCCCGAAGCTGTGAGGACTGACTCCACTCTTGGCTTTTTACTTATTTTTATTAATACTTAACTTTAATTTTAAATCATGAATTTTCTTTTAATAAACTTAATAGCGTGGCTTCCCCTGTTTTCCTACCCTGAACGCTGAAGTTAGAGAGAATGGAGTCACTTTTAGTTTTTACTAAAGCAAGATCTACTTAAATCTGTCAAAAGCTCAGTAAACTTGAACGAGCCCATTATAAAATTAAATACTCCCAAAAATTACCATAGTATCATCTCTAGTTGTCACCCATATACTTTTAATCTGTTCGACTTGTGCTTCAAGAGTCGCGGCCATTGCACCCAAATGAACTGGTGCATTCAAGACTTTATTTACTCCATTTTTTTGCTTCTCCCTCAAATTGTCACCGCCGTTTTTCAGGTTTTCGCCTTTCAATATTTCCAACAACTTGCAACATATTTGCCTGTTGATAATTAATCAAATCAATACATTATTAATTTGTTGAAGAATTGAACAGAGAAAATAATTAGTGAAAAAAATTGAAATATTTACAGACCTAACCTCGTTTTCCGATTTTTCAGTTACTTCATGTAAAACTTGACCAATAGCTTCATAAACTTCATCTCCATCCTCAAAGTCATCTTTGGAACTGTCAAGAATGCCTGAAAAATGTCAATAGAAATAAACATATAAATTTATTCATGAATATAACCAAACTGTCAAAGGTTAATTATTTAATTTTGTAGGTTATATCATGACATTACCTTCAACATAGTGATACAAATCATCATCTATTGTAGGAAAATTACTTCTTATATATTCACTACACTCTGCCATACTAATTCAAAAAAAATATATCCAACAGTTATTAACTTTTGTTTAATGTTATTATTTAAATATATTAATGTATGTGTACTGTGTATTTACTTATATACAAAATAACAATATACAGTTACTAAAACGTTTTATCTGCAAAACGTTAAAAAAACAGAATTACAATTTTTTTGTATATTATGTACAGCATATAAATAATAAGTAATATGTGTCAATTGAAAAATGAATTTTTTAATTCGTATAACTGTAGTACAGTACACATGTGTCTTTACACTAAGTCAACGCCATTTTGGTACTGCCGAGATCAAGTTGGTGTCTATTTTTCAACGAAAAGTTTACCTACTAGTATAATATTTTCAATCATTAAAAAATTAATATCCGGTCTTTTTTATTATTGTTGATTATGACATTCATTAATACTAAGGTTATATTATGATAGTTAGGAATACTAATTATTATTTCATTATTACAAATAATGTTAAATATTGTGATATTACAATGGAAATTATTTTTTTTATATTAAATTCGCCATCTTGATGCTTGTCAAACTGTATTACTGGGTGCGTGCAATCCTCTTGTTATATTGACGTTTTTTCTCTTACAATTGTTGTTTATTATTACCAACAAATAAATGTATCAATGCTTCTTGACTAGTTGTAAATATTTACTTTAACTTTATAGATAATTATTGACAGTAACACTCCAGTACAGTGATTTTTATAAAATTTTCAAGATTTTAGCTAATACAATAATGGAGTAAATTTTTTCACGGATCAAAACTCAAGAGATTTTATTGCAGATATATATTTAAACAAATATACCTAACAAGGTAATAATTTATGTGTACCGATTATTTGATTTTATATTTATAAATAAATTGAAATTTTTTTTTTTTACATTAATTTAATTAATTTTTTTTTTCTATTTTGCAGTATAATGGCTACTGACGTTGAAGAATCAGATACGGAGGATCATGAGCGTCCTGCACCACCTAAAAGACAGTGTGTTAATTTTCTAAGTGAGGATGATGAGCAATCGGTAATCATACTTTTTAATATTAATTAATTTTTTAAAACTTACCTCTAATTATATAATAAAATTTTGGATTAAAAACTTTCAGTACAATATATCGTTTAGATGATACTGAAATTGACAGACATTAGTACTTTTTCAGAATTTTATAGCAATTAAATTATTATAAAAAAATTTTACATGTGAAAAATATAAAAAATTATTAGTGGAAATTTTTAGAAGTTTTTTTTATTGAAATTGATTTATAAAAATTTTTAAAATTGACAGCTGACAGCAAAATTCAGTATCATACAGCTTAACACTAAAATTTATCTTGGTTTTTTTTTCTATAAGTAATTGTAAGTCATAATAGTAAAGTGAACCGACGTTTTTAATTTTTTGATTATTTTTCAATAATAAAATTAGAACTAAAAAATAGTTTTTAAAAATTGTACTTATAGTTTTTCAAGTATTTTTAAATGAAATTTTTTTTGTAATAATTTTTTCAATGAAAAAAAATTCGTTAAAATTTTTAGATGTCGGCTAACTTAATTTTAATTTGTAAGTCAATAAATACACGGAAAGAACCAGATGACACTGAATACCATCCCAGATTATATTGAGTGAAAAAAAAATAAATTCAGATAGTAGCTAGTATAATTCAGATTACAATGAGTATAATCCAGATATCACGCAATATCTGGATTTTTCTAACTACTATCTAAAATTTTTTTTCACCACAGATATCACTGAGTATAATCGGATGATATCCAGTGTCATCTTGTTCTTTCCGTATAAGTAAGATAAATTGAATTATAATAATTAAATTTTTTTATTTAGGCCCATCAACCTGTTCAAGATTCGAGTTCTACAGAAGACAGCGAACTGTTGACCCGGGAAAAGTTTCAACGTTATCATCAGTATCAGATAGATAAGCACTGTTATATGGGTTCTGTTGATAATACAATAAACCGTGTTATGGAAACTTATATTCTGACACCTCTGACAGAACGTATACAACTAAGATTATCAACAGGCGAATCCGAGATGGAAGACCATGCTGTTATGATGGCGATACGTAATCATGGACTTGTACATTCCTCAGTTAATAATTTTTCTTCACATTCAAATACTAATAGCAGCAATGCGTATTGGTACAGCGATGATGAATATAATTCATCGTTAAGTCCTATAAATTGTATGAGTAATATCACAACAACAGTTGCAGGAGCAGCTGCTGTTGTTGAACAATTGTCATCAGAATCGAGTGATTCTAATTCAGCATCAGCAACATCCTCAACTAAAATAATTCAACCGCGAACATTCCAATCATTTGATGATAAAATAATAAAACATAATAATATTCGTAGTAATAATAATGTTAATTGGAGTGCAGATAAAAATGACGATGGTGATCAGCAGAGCCAAGATATTTTAGAGCGAGCTGTGTCTGAAGCCATTAAAATTAAAGGACTGAGTGTACTCAGTGTTGATTATGTCTGAGATATTTTTTTTTATTATCAAGATAGCTAGATTTTATTGTTGTTTTATTATCCCAGTTATTATGTTTAAATCAGTCATTTTATTCATATAAATATAAAGATATATATTATTTTTTTTTACTCATTAATTTTTAAAATATTTTTTTATCTTTTAATACAAAACATGTAATCGTTATAGATATTCAAAATCAAGTAAAATTATATTTTTTATTTTATAACTATAAAAACTATTGAGTCTAAATTATAAATACTCTAATTAATGTCTCGATTATCGAATTTAAATTATTAATAATAATAATAATAATAATAAATTTTAATTATAATCGCTCCTTATGCCATAGAAAGTAAAGCTTTCCAGTACATGACACTAATTGTTATTAGAAAAAAATATTATTTTACTCAAGTTTATTAAAGAGTTTGATTTTATAAAAATAATCATCTGTTCTAATCTTCTCCAGATGCTTTAAAAATATATTACTAAATCATGTACATAATATTAAGTTAAAAATGTATAATTAAGTAATAAAAGACAAATAAAAATATGTAGATCCATATTTTTTTTGTTATAAAAAAAAGTCCCGTTAGATTTGATCCATTTTATTAAATTTCTGTTTATTATCATTTTATTTTCAAGACATATGTACCTTCAGGTGTTCTTGAAATTATGACCCAGATGATTTTTTTATTTTATTAAAAATCTATAAAATATTTTTTATATAAAAAATTTAATGTCTGTTTTAGTAATTAATTTATTATAAAAAAAAATTTTTTTTACTAAAAATTAAATTGCATTTGTAAGCTGTCACAAAATTTAAAAAAATTACTGTGACAATTTTAAATTAAGAATTACAAATTATCAAAAATTAAAAAAAAAAAAGGACAATGTACGTAGATATTTTTATATATGTGTATAAAAAAAATTAGAGAGTGGGGGGCAAAAATAGTAGTTTCCATTAGGCGTCTTTTTTCTTTATACTTAATATACATGAATCCACAAAACTATGAGTATACGTGTATTGAACAGAAGGCAGTAATTGTGTATGTAAGTGAACAGTTTGAAGCTTATGGCATCGGAGAGGCAGGGCGGAGGGGAACCTAAAAACCGGCGAAGTGGGGAGACGTATTTTGTAAAAGAAAAAAGAAATGAAAAGCGAAAAGAGAATAGAATTTTCGTGTAAGGAAGAGTAAGACAACACGATTGGTAGATAGAGACAGACAGTTTCGACGAGAAAGAAACGTGTAGAGACACCAGGCGAGGTACAAATACAACCCAGGAAGACGTTCACACATACGAAATATATAAAATATACCTAGAGTGAAGATGTGTGTATAGTGAGTGTGATTGCCGAAGCCGAACGCCGAACACAATCCGAAGCTCTGAAACCCAAGCGAGAGTCGAGTCGTGAGTCGTGAGGCATCTAGTAACGTTGGTTAATGTTAATGTAGTAACCATTACCGCGCTGTGTACTACTCATTTTTTTCCACTCACACTCGTATTTGTTGTTAAAAATTATAATTCGTTATATTTGTTAGTAATATAAGCCACGCATCGACGATGGCTTCCGATGAAGAAGTCGAAGATAATTACGCGGGTAAGTACTTAGCTACATTTTTAGATTTATTAAATATTTGCCGGAAAAAGTATCGGTGTATTATACACGGATAATATCATCTAGGGGAGGACGCGCGCTTTTCGTACGATGGCTGCCATGTCAATTGGTCCTTTGCAATTTTTCATTATTCCAATCTTTAATATTTAGATTATATTATTTCCGGATTTTCGCTCCGAAAGTTTCCTTCCCGCTGGTTTATTTTTTTTTTGTTTTACTTTGAGATTAGTGTGTGGATTGATGCGAGGATTTTCTGATGAGAAAATAATTTTTTTTTTAATAATTAATTAGCCTATCTTTTTGTCATTTTGTATGACGCTGTCTCTTTCTCTTTACTCGTTGTCAAATGGCAATGCTAACTGGTGCATTTTATCGATAACTTCGTCGATCCACGACCTCGTATATTTTATTATATATAGACAAATATTTTTTATTGTTATCATTAATTATTTTGTCTATTTTTTTTTTTTACAATAAAAAGAATGAAAATATTTTGTAAATTTAAATTTCCACGTTAGAATATTAAAATTTTAATTTTTTATTTTTCATCAATTGTCATCATTGATAAAAGATAAGCTTTAATTCGTCACCATGTTAATAATGTGGGAACTAAAAATTAAAGTATATATTTTATTATTACTATTATTATTTTTTTTTAAAGAAGTTAATTGCGTTTTAAGAATGAGAAAAAATTTTTTTAATTTTCTTTACTTCAATGAAAATTTAAAGGTACTTTGACCGAAAATATTTTGAGGTTGTAATTACAACTAACCAAAATTTTAAATGATATTATATATCAATGGTTTGGTTTTTTTATAATTGAAAAATTAATTTGTTGGCGTTTTTATTTTGAAAAATTTTATTCTACTTATGTACAATTTTATACATTAATAAATATTGATATAAATAAAATTTTTAATTTGGTGCACAATATTTTTTTTCTACTAAATTTTTTTATTCTTAAATAAAATAGAAAAAAAAATTTTTTGAAATTATATTTTTTATAATAATATTTTATTATTTAAAAAAAAAAAAAAGTCAAGTAGATAGTATTGTCAGATTGAGAATGTGGTGTGTTCGCCCTTTCAAAGAAGAAAATGGCGGCTGCACATTTATACAAAGCACTCATGGGACGCGGATTAGCACGAAAATTACATTCATGTTTTCATGAAAAGTGATGACAGCATTTTTTTTTTTTTACTTTCATTTTAGTTGATATTTATACCTATCGGTTGTAAATAACTAACATTTGATATCTAGTTTATTTATGAGTTGAGTAACTTTAGCTTTCAGGAATAATATATCAAAAGTTTGTAATAAAAGTTTAATTAAACTTTCCAAGGATCGATAAGAGAATATATGTATATGAATTTTATTGATTTCTAGGGGAAGAAGAAGTTGATGAGAGCAATGCTCAGGTAACGGCTGTCAACCCACCGCCCGAGGGTTCATCTGATGCTGAAGATGCTCAAAGACCTGTAATTATCATTACGTAATTGATATTTTACAATTAGTAATATTGATTTTTAATTAATTGCCAAATAAATTTTACACAGGAGGAAGATGACGATTACGAACCAGAGGAACGTAAGAAAAAGAAAGGCAAAAAGAGGAAAGCTAGAGGTGACGATAAAAAAGGAAAGAAAAAGAAGAAAAAGAAAAAATCTGATTCTGGAGATGTAATTGATGCTTATTATTATTTAAATCAATTTATATTTAAAACTTTATTTAATTGTTATGATTGATTGGTAAAAACAGGAAAGCGACTTTGGAGCAGAAGTTGCTGAAGGAGCTGGTGAAGATAGTGACTATGCGAGTAATCGTAAAAGCAGAAAATCATCATCAAGAAAATCATCTGGCCATACACCAGCTGCACCTGTACAACAAGAACCAGCAACTGGAATGCCGACGATAGAAGAAGTTTGCAGTACATTTGGTCTTACCGATGTACAGATTGATTACACTGACGCTGATTTCCAGAATTTAACGACTTATAAATTGTTCCAACAACATGTTCGACCTCTTCTTGCTAAAGAGAATCCAAAGGTTTGTATTGTTAACTATAACGTAATAATATTTTCTACAAAACTTAATTTAATATTTAAAATAATTTTAGGTGCCAATGTCCAAGTTGATGATGCTGGTAGCTGCCAAATGGCGTGACTTTTCCGAACTAAATCCTCATACACAACCAGATGCAGAAGTTTCAACGCAAAATGTTGAAGAAGAAACCAGGAGTGTTAGGCCAAACCGTGGTGCTCCTACTCTAGAAGTAGAAGAAGATGAAGATGATGATTATGACAGTGATCGAAAGAAAAAATCACGTGGTTCACGTGCTAAGAAAGGAAAAAAAGCGTCTAAAGTACCCACACTTAAAATTAAGTTAGGCAAACGTAAACGTGGAAGCTCTGTAAGTATTTTCCAGTATAATTGTAGTTAATTACTAATTTTCAAGAATTTAGTGTATAAATTTTTTTATTTTCTTTTTTTCATCAGGATGAAGAAGCAGAAGGTAGCGCTGCAGGCTCTGACAGAGATTCTGACGTAGAGTTTGAGCAAATGTTAGCTGACGCTGAAGAAGTACCGGCTGCTGAGAATAATACAAAGGGCACTGAAGACGCGGCTGCAGAACCAACAGCTGAGCCTCCAGTTCGCAGGAAGGCTAAAACAAAGATTGGAAATAAGTCTAAAAAAAAGAAGAAAACAAAGACGACGTCTAAATTCCCAGATGGAGAGGAAAGTTTCTAGGTAGAGTTAGGCTACCTAGCTTATGCGTTCATAGCTTTCGTTTATTTATTTATCTCTACACATTGTCGTCATAAGTTTCAAACACTTGAATCTTTGCTAGGGAACGCATACGCTTTGATGCTTAGCTCTGCCTTATTGTTTTAGTATAAAAACCAAAACATCAAAATGAATTATTTTTAATTCAAATTTTATTTAAATTTTTGACATTGTCAATGACCAATATGTTTGCTTTTTATATTTTAGACTGACCACCAGGATTACTGTGAAGTGTGTCAACAAGGTGGTGAAATAATTCTCTGTGACACGTGTCCACGAGCTTATCACTTGGTGTGTTTAGAGCCTGAGCTGGAAGAAACTCCTGAGGGCAAGTGGAGCTGTCCACACTGCGAAGGCGAAGGTATTACAGGTATCTTAGATAAAAATCCTCTCCCTTGATCCACTTCATTAGTTAAATGTAACCGTGAGAAAAAAGGAGAGGGCCCTTCCATTGTGATGGTCTTTTTATTTTCTTAGCCTTTGTATTTGTTTAGATTTCTCATACAAGGGTGAATATATTAATATACATTGTTTGTTTAATTTATTTTAAAGGTGCCGCTGAAGATGACGACGAGCACATGGAATTTTGTCGTGTATGTAAAGATGGCGGTGAATTATTATGCTGCGACAGTTGTACGAGTGCTTATCACACGCACTGTTTGAGCCCACCGTTATCAGAAATTCCTGATGGTGATTGGAAATGTCCGCGATGCTCTTGTCCACCGATAATGGCTAAAGTATCAAAAATTTTAACTTGGCGATGGAAAGACCTTCCAGATGCTCCATCAGAAGAGCCTTCAACAAGTAAAGCTACTCCGAAAAAACGAAGAGTCCGTGAATTTTTTGTTAAATGGGCTGATATGTCTTACTGGCATTGCGATTGGATAAGCGAATTGCAACTTGACGTATTTCATCCACTTATGTTCCGTAATTACACGCGTAAGTATGATATGGATGAACCACCTAAACTAGAGGAGCCACTCGATGAGCACGATTCACGGGCAATACGTAATAAACGTGATTGTACTGACAATAAAGAGCACTATAATATGGAAGACCGTTTCTTCAAGTACGGTATCAGACCCGAGTGGATGATAATTCATCGTATTATCAATCATCGTACGGCAAGAGATGGACGTGCCACGTATTTAGTTAAATGGCGTGACCTTGGTTACGATCAAGCAACTTGGGAAGACGAGAATGCTGATATCCCGGGCTTTAAACAAGCTATCGATTATTACTCTGACTTACGTGCTGCTAATTGCGCTGATGGACACACCTCAAGAAAAGGCAAAAAAGGCAAAGGCAAAAAATCTAAAACACGTGAATTAATTGATGATGAAGAACGTCAGCCGAAACGATACACTCCACCGCCAGATAAGCCTACAACTGATTTAAAGAAAAAATACGAACGTCAGCCTGATTACTTGGATTGTACTGGTATGCAGCTTCATCCTTATCAATTAGAAGGTCTCAATTGGTTACGTTACTCTTGGGGTCAAGGTATCGATACTATTCTTGCTGATGAAATGGGTCTCGGTAAAACTATACAAACCATTGTATTCTTGTATTCTCTTTACAAAGAAGGACATTGCAAGGGACCATTCCTTGTTTCCGTTCCACTTTCAACTATTATTAACTGGGAACGTGAATTTGAAACTTGGGCGCCAGATTTTTACTGCGTTACGTATGTCGGTGATAAAGACAGTCGTATTGTTATACGTGAAAATGAATTGTCATTTGAAGAAGGTGCTGTACGAGGTAACCGAGCCACAAAAATACGCTCATCATCTATCAAATTTAATGTACTGCTGACAAGTTATGAGCTTATTTCTATTGACTCAGCATGCTTAGGATCTATTGATTGGGCTGTATTAGTAGTAGATGAAGCTCATCGTCTTAAATCTAATCAATCTAAATTCTTCAGACTGTTAGCGTCTTACAATATTGCTTACAAATTATTATTAACTGGTACACCTTTACAAAATAATCTGGAAGAATTGTTCCATTTGTTGAATTTCCTTTGTCGTGACAAATTCAACGATTTGTCAGCGTTCCAAAATGAATTTGCAGATATTTCAAAAGAAGAGCAAGTTAAAAAATTACACGAAATGCTTGGACCTCACATGTTGCGTAGATTGAAGGCTGATGTATTGAAAAATATGCCCAGTAAATCTGAATTTATTGTACGTGTTGAGTTGTCACCAATGCAGAAGAAATATTACAAGTATATATTGACGAGAAATTTCGAAGCTTTAAATCCAAAAGGAGGTGGTCAGCAAGTATCATTATTGAATATTATGATGGATTTGAAGAAATGCTGTAATCACCCGTACTTATTCCCCGCGGCGTCCCAAGAAGCACCCACTGGTCCTAATGGTAACTATGAGCCAAATGCATTGATTAAAGCTGCTGGTAAATTAGTTCTTTTAAGTAGAATGTTAAAAAAATTACGCGATGATGGACATCGTGTTCTTATATTCTCTCAAATGACTAAAATGTTGGATATATTGGAGGATTACTTAGAAGGAGAAGGTTATAAATATGAAAGAATAGATGGTAATATAACGGGTACACAACGACAAGAGGCTATTGACAGATTTAATGCCCCAGGTGCTCAACAATTTGTCTTTTTATTGTCAACACGTGCCGGTGGTCTTGGTATTAATTTAGCAACAGCTGACACTGTGATAATATACGATTCTGACTGGAATCCACATAACGATATCCAAGCATTCAGTAGAGCGCACAGAATTGGTCAAGCTAATAAAGTTATGATATATCGATTTGTAACTCGTAACTCTGTTGAAGAACGTGTTACCCAAGTTGCCAAACGTAAGATGATGCTTACACATTTAGTCGTGAGACCTGGTATGGGTGGTAAAGGTTCTAATTTCAGTAAACAAGAATTAGATGATATATTGCGTTTTGGTACTGAAGAATTATTTAAAGAAGAAGAGGGTAAAGAGGATGAAGCTATTCACTATGACGAAAAAGCTGTTGCCGAATTGCTCGATCGTAGTAAAGAGGGAATTGAGCAAAAAGAAAATTGGGCAAACGAGTACTTAAGTTCATTTAAAGTTGCCTCTTACGTCACGAAGGAAGGTGAAACTGAAGAGGAAGCTGACACTGAAATTATCAAACAGGAAGCTGAGAACACTGATCCGGCATACTGGATTAAGTTACTCAGGCATCATTATGAACAACAGCAAGAAGACATGGCGAGAACTCTTGGTAAGGGTAAACGTGTTAGGAAACAAGTTAATTACAACGACGGTGGTGTGACGGGTGACCAGGGAGCTCGGGATGATCAGCCTTGGCAAGATAACTTGTCAGATTACAACAGCGATTTTAGTGCTCCTAGTGATGATGACAAGGAGGACGATGACTTTGATGAAAAGGGTGATGGTGACTTGTTGTCTCGTCGTAGTAGACGTCGTTTGGAGCGACGTGATGAGAGAGACAGGCCATTGCCGCCTTTACTTGCACGTGTTAATGGAAATATTGAGGTAACAATTATTTTTTTTAATTTTAATTTGTTCAATTTTTTCATTAAAGAGGTTTAAATATTGTCTGTGGTAAAAAAAAAATTACAAGTTTGATTAGTAAATTAATAAATTACTAGCAACCTTGCAGTCACTATGTGATTACCGTGACTTGTGTGAATTATAAATAAACAAAATTTTGCTTTATAAAATAATAACTTTTGTTAAATTGCAATGTACTTTCTTAACTATTGACATTTTTAAAGATATAAGCTCACCCTGACATTACAGTCATCAAGAGCTTTCAATTGAGTACCCACATGAATTTTGATATATTTTTCATATATATATATATATATAATTATATGAAAAATTGATGTGGGTACTCAAATGAAAGCTCTTGATGAGTGTATTGTCGGGATGAGCTTATATCTTTAAAAATATCAATAGTTCACAAGATACAAGGTAATTTCATAATTATGTTAAATTACACTGTACTTTTTTAACTATTGACATTTTTAAAGATATAATAACCTCATCTCGATGTTACATTCATCAAGAGCTTTCATTTGAGTACCCACATGCATTTTGATATATTTTTCATATATACATATATATAATATATATAAATATATGAAAAATTGATGTGGGTACTCAAATGAAAGCTCTTGATGAGTGTAATGTCAGGGTGAGCTTATATCTTTAAAAATATCAATAGTTCATCACAAGATACAGGGTCATTTCTTAATTATGTATCTAGAGGTAGAGTATTTTCAAATTCAGCCTAAATGCTTATCATTATAAATTGACTATCGGTGAGAATGATATGAAACTATGAAAAGGCACAACTTTAGGTCAAGATTCTGCTTATTCTCTTAATAATATAGATTTAAATTTATCACAGGTACTTGGGTTCAACGCAAGACAACGAAAGGCATTCCTGAATGCAATAATGCGTTACGGTATGCCTCCTCAAGATGCCTTCAATTCGCAATGGTTAGTTGACCAGTAACATGATTTATAATAAATACCAAATTATTAATATATATTATAAGATAATTCGCAAGTAGAGCGAGAATTGTAGTTAGGACTGCTTTAATCTGTAGGTTGGTGCGAGACCTACGGGGGAAATCGGAAAAGAACTTCAAGGCCTACGTATCACTCTTCATGCGTCATCTCTGTGAACCAGGTGCCGACAACGCGGAAACATTCGCCGATGGTGTCCCACGGGAGGGATTGAGTCGTCAGCATGTACTCACCAGAATAGGTGTTATGTCATTGATTCGTAAGAAAGTACAGGAGTTTGAGCATATAAACGGTTATTATTCGATGCCGGAGATGATCCGCAAACCAGTTGAGCCAGTTAAATCAGAACCAAACGCTACTGCTGCAACTACCACCACGGTAGCTACAACGGCAGCAACTACTACAACGTCGACAATTGCAACTACCATCACAACAGTCGCTACTCCCGAAACATCAGGTACAACAACTGCAGCCAACAGCAGCAGCGCAACTCCGGCTACGTCTAATGCACCAAGTCCAACTTCTACGGCAACGTCAACGTCGACAGCAACAACTCCAGTGATGACGGCTACCGTAAACTCAGCAGCTACAAGTGCTGATGTTAAACCAGCAGACGCTGCTGAAGTTAAAGAAGCTAAGGATGAGGTTAAGGAAAAAGATCCAGAGGATAAGAATGATATTAAGGATTCTAAAGAAACAACAGAAGTGACGAATGATAAGGAGAATAATGATAAAGATGATGATGTCAAGAAGGAAAAAGAAGTTGAAGAATCCCCAGATAAAGAAAAAGAAAAAATTGAAATTAAGGTTGAGAAAGATCTAATAATTAAGTCTGAAGAAAAGACCACAAGTGTACAAAAAATCAACGCTGACGCTGATGAGGATGTTGTAATTGTCAAAGATGACGATGAGGAGGACAAGAAAGATGATAAAAGTGGCATTAAAGATAAAGATACTAAAGACAGTGAGCCAGAAGTAAAACCTAAACGTAAATTTATGTTCAATATTGCTGATGGTGGTTTTACTGAATTACACACTCTGTGGTTGAATGAAGAAAAAGCCGCGGTACCTGGTCGTGAATATGAAATCTGGCACCGACGACACGACTACTGGCTTCTGGCTGGTATTGTCACTCATGGGTACGGTCGCTGGCAAGACATCCAGAATGACATTAGATTTGCTATCATCAATGAGCCTTTCAAGATGGACGTTGGCAAGGGTAATTTCTTGGAAATAAAAAATAAATTCCTCGCACGGCGTTTCAAGCTCCTTGAGCAGGCTCTGGTTATTGAAGAACAATTGAGAAGAGCTGCGTATCTGAACTTGACTCAGGATCCAAATCATCCAGCGATGAGCTTGAACGCGAGATTCGCTGAAGTCGAGTGTCTCGCAGAGTCACACCAGCATTTGAGTAAGGAGAGCTTAGCTGGAAATAAACCTGCTAATGCAGTATTGCACAAAGTTCTTAATCAATTGGAAGAACTGTTGTCAGATATGAAATCTGATGTTAGCCGTTTACCGGCTACTCTTGCACGTATACCACCAGTTGCCCAACGGCTTCAAATGTCCGAACGCTCAATTCTCAGTCGATTGGCTGCTACAGCTCCTGGCGCGGCTAATAATCAAACTGGGCAAGCTGCATTATTAGCTCAACAATTTCCAGCAGGATTCTCCGGTGGGCAATTACAAGCTACTTTTGCCGGAGCCGCTAACTTTGGTAACTTCAGGCCACAATACTCTGTACCGGGACAACCACCACAAGGTTTTACAGGTAAATAATAATTTAAAATGCGTATTAGAGATTTACGTAGAAAATTATGTTAAGTACGGATCTGTAATTAAAAACATTAGATATAAAATAATAATGATTATTTGTTGCAGCTTAAATGTAATTAAATCGACTTAATTGGCGAATGATTGATAGGAAAAAAAAAAAAAAAAAAAAAGCAAGGTCCCCTCAGTAATAAATATATCTAATAAAAATTCGATAATAGATGAGGATAACGATGATAACTATTATTAATAATTATTGAGTGAATTTTTTACGCGGGCTGTAATTTTATTTTTGTTAATTAAAGTCACAGTGACTAGTTGAATTTTTTCACTGAATAAGGACCTAAGAGTAATAAAAAAAAAACGCTAAACGTAAAATACGTACCAATAAAACATATAAATCACACCTCCTGTATTTATGATCTGTAAATTTTGGCTTTAACTATTAGCAAAAAAATAATACAATCACATAAACATAATAAGTTAATAGTAATAACAATAACAAAATCACAGTTTTATATATTTAACAGTCTAACGAGGAAAGCGTTTTTAGTGAAATATTATTTCTACAAAAGCCTCGATTTTTAATTTATCGATTGACTCAACATTCGTAGCACTTCGATACTGAATTGAATAGTTATTATTTTCAAAAAATAAATTTATTTAACAATTGCATTTAATTGAAAAAAAAAAAAAAAAAAAAAAAAAAAATCAATATTTGTAATTAATATAGGAACAGTATAATTTATTCTTTAACTTTTATAAGTAATAGATTATTAATATTATAATTAATTTTAGTTATTCTTAATTTTACTATGATCTTCAATGCATAAAGTACAATTGTTATCCATTAATAATTAATTATTAATAATAATAATAATAATAATAACGCATGTTATTATCACTGCGATCTTAGATAAACAGAATCATCCAAGTTAAAAAAAAAAAAAAACAAGAACAGTTGGCATTGAATTGATTTATTAATTATAATAGATAGCATTAATATGGAATAGACATGAAAATTCACAGAATTACATTTAAATAATGAAATTTATTATAAAAAAAAAAAAAATAATAACATCCCTCCTACAATATTTGTATCATCTTTTTAATAATTTGTCATGATGTTTTTTCACTGTGAAAAATATTTATAATGCAAAATTTGTGTATACTTTTTAATTCTATGATTATTATTAAAAACAAAAAAAAAAAAAAAAAAAAAAAACAAATTTTCTTAAATTGCATTGTAAATTTTTGTCTTAAATATAATTTTTAATCAATTATTTTTTATCATTGTCTTTTTGGTAGTTATGTACGTTATTTTATTTTCATATAACTTTTTTTTTTTATATATTAAGTAAAATAAAATAAAAAATATTATAATTAATCGTGATAAATTTTTGGATAATTAAAAGTTTTCATGAAAATTTATTAATTGAAATTTATTCAAATAAAAATAAACAAAAAAAATTGACAAGTGTTGAGTGATTTTTACATTCTTAGCGTTTAAATAAATCAAATAGTAATTATTAAGTAATTACTAACAATTATTCTGATTGCTGTAATTTTAATTGTGGTATCAAAGATTTTGATTGGACAAATTATGAATGAATGGAGACATGACATGTAGCAGTGAGTAGATAATTTAAATTTGTCTTTAAATGATATTATTTATTTTGCTTCTGCTGAACCATTTCGCGGATGCTGTCCTTACTCTCTTGCAAATTTTGTGCTAATTTAGTTTTATTGTTCTCGAGTGTCGCCACTTTTTCATCAGCGGTTTTTATCCTAGTTTGGAGTCCCGATTTGATGCTGGCAATGTCATCGAGTAGGAACATCCTACCAACAGATTCGTATGTTTTCGTGTTTGCTGGTAAATTGGCAACTTCTGCGATTGTCAATTCAGCACGCTGCTTGGATCTTTTTAGTGATTCTATTTGCAAGTCGGCTAACTTTATTTTTTGGGCTGTTTCTGTTACTTTTTCTTGTAACTCACTGAATGCCTTCACTAATTCTTCATCTCGAGCACGGGCCATTTTATCTAAATTAAAATTATTTTTTATTAATCGACTCCAACAAATTTAAAAATAATTTTTGTTTTACTTACTTTATTTACTATTTTATTAATAAATATTAGCCTCAATTAATTTATAGATTATGAAGTAGTTGTAAACACAGTTGTACTCTTTCGTGAGGTTAGGTTTTATTTGGCAATGTAATGCTATACCTATCAGAAATATTATTTTGAGAGACATCTAGCTTTGGTATAATTATTACAACTGTTGGTAATAAAAAAAATTGAAATACCAAACTTGGTCGATAATGAACTCTCTATTTTAAATTTAAATGAAAATATTTAAAAACAGCTGGCACCTGAAAATTTTTTTATTTGATAAGAAAGGTAAGTTAACCGAAGAAATGTTTTTTAAAAATTCTACTCATAGTTTTTATTAATTTTTTCATGTGAAAGTTTTTTTACTTTCACTTTAATAATTTAGTTGTAAATTTTATTTTAAGCTTGATAAATAATAGCGAATTTTAATGAAAATTAAGTTAGCTGACATTTAAAAATTTTTAGAATTTTTTTTTTTTTATTTAAAAAAATTGTTACAAAAAAATTTTTAAAAAATTTGTTGTAAAAAAATTGAAAAATTATAAGTGTAATTTTTAAACAATGTCTTTTAGTTCTAATGTAATAAATGAAAAAAATTAAAAACGTCGGCTCACTTAGGAAGTATCAAATTTTAATTAAATTAAAATTCACTTAGTGAAAAAAATAAATTAATAAATTAGATAATAAGCTAAATACATAAAAGAGTTGTCAACGTAACTTTTCTTTGACATTAAAGTTAGAAATCACTTGATAATTATTTAACAAATAAATCTTTTCTGAAAAATTATTTTTAAAAAATTGCATTTATAATTTTTTAAAATTTCTGCATGTCAATTTTTTTTGCTATAATTTATTGGTTAAAAAATTATTAAATATCTGTTAAATTAATTCTAGACTAGGGGTGTGCGAATATCGTTCGAATCGAATATTGATATTCGAACCGAATAATTCGAATTTTCGAATTAATCAACACTCGACGAATAATTCAAAAGAATTCGAATAATTCGAAACTTTTCCCGTGTAAAAAAAAATCGTCTTAAAATTTTCTTAAAATTGTCGTTCGTTTAAGATCTTAAACGTGACACAAACTAAGACTATTTTAAGACTCTTTTAAGACGCCAAAAGAAAAATTCCGAGAGCAGATTTTTGAAAATTTTGTTCTCGAATTTGTTGTGAAAATTAATTTTTAGATGATTTTACGACTTTCTAACCGCAATATTTTTGAGTAAGATGTTTTTAAATTGAATTTAAAATTGTTAAAAAATTATTATCTGACAATTTAAAGACTTTTTTAAGACGTTCCGTTTCAATGTTCCGGGGCTCTGTCGCTGTTAACCCATCTTAAAATAGTCTAAATTTTTTATTAAGATTTTTTTAAGACTAATTTAAGACAATTTTAAG